TTTATAGAAGTCTGCTGTAAAAAACCAGTTTTGACAAATACAATATGTACGTGTATAACTATATTTTTTACAAGGAAGATTTTATTTGCATTAGCTGTATGAATTAAAGGTATTCCAATGCCTGCAGTCCCTATACATGTATATACGGTGGAATGTACAACGCCTGCATTGCATCAGTCTTTTGAGTCTATCATTGACTGCATTAGAACTTATGTGCATGCAGTCGGCCAATGCCTGCATTGACAGACTGATGTGCAGTGGGCCAATGCCTGCATTGACTGACTGCGCAGTCAGCCAATGTCTGCATCGACTGACTGATGAGCAGTCGGCCAATGCCTGCATTGACAGACTGATGCGCAGGAGGCCAATGCCTGCATTGACAGACTGATGTGCAGTCGGCCAATGCCTGCATTGCCTGACTGCGCAGTCGGCCAATGCCTGCATTGAATGACTGATGAGCAGTCGGCCAATGCCAGCTGCATTGACTGACTGCACAGTCGGCCAATGCAGGCATTGACTGACTGCGCAGTCGGCCAATGCCTGCATTGACAGACTGATGTGCAGTCGGCCAATGCCTGCATTGACTGACTGCGCAGTTGGCCAATGGCTGCATTGACTGACTGATGTGCAGTCGGCCAATGCCTGCATTGACTGACTGATGTGCAGTCGGCCAATGCCTGCATTGGCTGTTTATCTCAAAGTCCAATGCAGGCATTGGCCGACTCTCTTAGAGAGCCAATGCCTGCATTGTCGGACTCTCTTGAGAGCGTGAGAGAGTCAGCCAATGCCTGCATTGGCCCTTGAGAGCCTTGAAATGCCCGAGTGACCATAGATAGAAAGAGAGACGGAAAAGGATAAAGAAAGAGCCATTCACATTGCCTGTATTGGCCTTTTTTATAGTTGTGCAACCTGCATTGGCCAACAATAAACACATTGCTGTAAGAAATTGCGATGAAATTCTGGCATTGACTTAAGAATAATAGCCACCACTGCATTGCAAGTTCATTCACTTTCCTTGGTTTAAAATACATTTTCTATTCCTTTAACGCCAAATTCCATTAGTTAATTACATTTAGAACAAACTCGATTGCATATGTGATTAAGATAAAACACAAATCAGAATATGCTAAAATTTGCAAGAAATTGAATGGACATCATGTCATTGTTCCCGTTGTTACTTGTATCATATGAATTTGGAAATAAGTGAATAAAACCATACCATTTGTTTCGGACTAATTTTGTAATCATAAACAACTTCTTTTATATATCTATTAAATTATATTTACTTTGGTAATAGAAGTCAAAATGTCTTTCCAAATTGCCCATAACATCGAACTTAAATTAAAACAAGAGGCCCATGGGCCACATCGCTCACCTGAGAAGCTTTGACCATTCTGTTCTTTACCAGATTTCCCCCGTGTTATACATAATGCATCCCCACCCTACCCCACTGATCATAATTTAGACATTTTGAAATCTACACTACCTAATGATCCTTCCATGGGCACATATGTTTCAGCTTTTTTGGCCCAGTGGTTCCTGAGAAGAAGATTTTCAAAGATTTTTCCTATATATTTCTATGTAAAACTTTGATTCCCTATAATGGCCCCGCCCTTCCCCCGGGGGTCATGATTCCTACAATTTAGAATTTACACTACCCCAGAATGCTTCCACATAAGCTTCACTTTTTCTGGCCCAGTGGTTCTTGACAAGAAGATTTTCAAAGATTTTTCCTATATATTTCTAAGTAAAACTTTGATTCCCCATTGTGGCCCCGCCCTTCCCCCGGGGGTCATGATGTGAACAATTTAGAATCTTCACTATACCAGGATGCTTCCACATAAGTTTAAGCTTTTTTGGCCCAGTGGTTCTTGAGAAGAAGATTTTCAAAGATTTTTCCTATATATTTCTAAGTAAAACTTTGATTCCCCATTGTGGCCCCGCCCTTCCCCCGGGGGTCATGATTTGAACAATTTAGAATCTACACTACCCCAGGATGCTTCCACATAAGTTTCAGCTTTACTGGCCCAGTGGTTCTTGAGAAGAAGATTTTTTAATGACCCAACCCTTTTTTTGTCTTTTCTTGATTATCTCCCCTTGCGAGGGGATATGTCCCTTCATTTTAACAATTTAAATTCCCCTTCACCCAAGAATGCTTTGTACCAAGTTTGGTCAAAATTGGCCCAGTGGTTCTTGAGAAGAAGTCGAAAATGTGAAAAGTTTACAGACGGACAGACAGACAGACGGACAGACGGACAGACAGACGGACGGACGACGGACAAAATGTGATCAGAAAAGCTCACTTGAGCCTTCGGCTCAGGTGAGCTAAAAAAATAAATTAGACAGATAAAAATTAGTTGAGACCCCATTTTATACAACAATAAAGCTGCATGCGAGTTCATTTATGTTAAATAATTAATATATGTTATATGATATACTAGTTAATATATGTACTAAGTTTTTGACAAACAAACACGTTCCTGAAATTGGAAATATCTGCAGTCTCATGAAAAGTTATTATTACGTACATGAACATTCCATGATCGATACAATAACCTTGTCAGCTAATACAATCTATCAAGTCTTATCCTGACTGTTTTTTTTTTGTACTAATTTTTTGTTAGTAGTTATATACTGAATTGTCATCAGATTTTTTCAGTTATTTTCCCGTTGTTATTATAATATTATATTATCCCAGGACATTGTTTTGCTCTGCTACTGATTTGAATTGTTAAATAGACTTGTGAGCTTAAATACTGTTACTTATATGCATACATTTCATTTTCATGTGAGATTTAGAATTTAAATCAAACGGACTTGATATTAAGCATCTTTTTGAAGTGCATTTTATTTACTTTACATTATTTCTAATCATTGAAGATTCCAAATCCATATTTAATATTTGTTGTGTTTCAAACTACTTAATAACAAGAGGCCCAGGGGCCACAGCGCTCACCTGAGCACATCAGGCTTGAATTTACTCCACCCCCCTCCAGGCATTCATCATTTGAACAAACTAGAATCTACACTACCAGGAGGATGATTCCATATAAATATCACTAATCATAGCTTTGAAGTACTTGAAAAGAAGATTTTAAAAGGTTTCCCTATATATCCCTATGTAAAACTTGGGTCAGCCATTTTGGCCCCACCCTAGCCCCGGGGGTCATGATTTGAACAAACTTGAATCTACACTACCTGAGGATGATTCCACATGAGTTCCATCTTTCCTGGCCCAGTGGTTCTGGAGAAGAAGATTTTTAAAGATTTTTCCTATATATTCCTATCTAAAACTTGGGTCGGCCATTTTGGCCCCACCCTAGCCCAGGAGGTCATGATTTGAACAAACTTGAATCTACACTACCTGAGGATGATTCCACATGAGTTTCATCTTTCCTGGCCCAGTGGTTCTGGAGAAGAAGATTTTTAAAGATTTTTCCTATATATTCCTATGTAAAACTTGGGTCGGCCATTTTGGCCCCACCCTAGCCCCGGGGGTCATGATTTGAACAAACTTGAATCTGCACTACCTGAAAATGATTCCACATGAGTTTCATCTTTCCTGGCCCAGTGGTTCTGGAGATGAAGATTTTTAAAGATTTTTCCTATATATTCCTATGTAAAACTTGGGTCGGCCATTTTGGCCCCACCCTTGCCCCGGGGGTCATGATTTGAACAAACTTGAATCTACACTACCTGAGGATGCTTCCATATGAGTTTCATCTTTCCTGGCCCAGCAGTTCTGGAGAAGAAGATTTTTTAAAAATGCCATTACTTTTTCACTAATTCCTAATTATCTCCCCTTGAAAGAGGGCATGGCCCTTCATTTGAACAAACCTGAATCCCCTTTACCTAAGGATACTTTCTGGCAAGTTTGGTTGAAATTGGCCCATTGGTTCTTGAGAAGAAGATGAAAATGTGAAAAGTTTACAACAACGACAACGACAACGACTTCGACGACAACGACGACAACGACGACAGACAACGGACAAATTGTGATCAGAAAAGCTCACTTGAGCCTTTGGCTCAGGTGAGCTAAAAAGTACAATCCGAATTTGTATTTTTGTCCTAGCAACGGGGAAGCCACTTTTATTGACTGACTAACATTTCAACAAGATTTTTTTTAAGAAAGAGATAGTCTAATGAGATTAAATGACATAAACTTCTCCGCCTCCATTTCTATTATACAGTTAAAGTATATCACTTAGGGAGTTAGCAAGATTCCAGTTCCCCAAGGACTAATTTCCGAGGTGATGCGTGTTTTATTACACCGATACAAATTTAAATTGTAAAGATCGCCTTTGTTTAAAAAAAAATATTTATTTACAGATTAACTAATCATTATTCGAATAACTGAATAAAATCATAATTTATATTTATTGAAAAACTAGAGAATGAAGGAGAACGGCAAATAAGTATGACTAGCTTTCGACGGAGGGATTAGCTAAAAAGAATTAACGCAAGAGGAATAGTCGATGCACAGCGATTTCTAAGAATTGTTCAGATCTAATAATTAATTTTATATAGGGTTAAATCAGAAGAGGTATAAAAAATATTCTCGTAGTAAGTTAAAAGTTATATTCAATCTACCTGATCAATACAATTCTGGTTATGAATAATCAACAGGGGATGTTTTCTCGTCTTCGTTGCTTGAACTCTGAAATTTCAGAAGTTCCTGACCCATGCGCTAATCGAATATTTCTATTGTTTGTATGTGTTTCGAGATTAATTAACGTTATCTTAACATTTTATCACTTTTAATATTTAAAGGAAGAGTGATGGAAGTGAAGAAATTGCTGATTAAATTTCATTAAATCTCGTTAATTTCTTCTTTTGTCTGTTTTTAAATTGTCTGTGTATCTATAGCATTTATTTATTTAAATTTTTTTTGTTTTGTTTTTTGCAAAATGTTTTGCACGTACTTATTAACTGAACTGAAAGAAAGTGTGGTCAAACCAGTGCTTTTTCCCTATTTATATATTTAATTTGACTAGACTTACCCATCTGAGGAGTCGAAGCATTTGTCATCTTCGGGAATGGTTATACATAACATGATGCATCCAAACAATTTTTCTATGAGGATATTAAATTTCTCAAGAAGGAATCCTTCACTCATTTCTTCCACAAAATCTTTTTGTTCTTGGGATAACTTTACTTTAAAAGTTTCTTTCACCGTTTTAAACATATCCTGGAATAAATATGATTACAAAATAAATATTTTACATCTCTTCAAATAAAAAAAACATTTCGTCCCTTTCCAAGTAAAATGGAATATTAACATCACCGTGATACCTCAGAACAGCAATAAAAATGAGACTATTCAGGATACGTTTTATCTGATGTTCATCAAAAATATAGTAAGAGGTCCATGGGCGATATCGTTTATCTAAGAAAACTGGCCAGGAAGAAGCAGAAAATCAGTGCATTATTCAAAAAGTTTACGGGAGGCTTAAATTCAAATTACACTACCACAGTATGATTTTATATCAATATTACTTATCGCGGCTTTATTGTCCTTAAACAGAAAAAAATCATTATTTTTTCCACAAGTACATGTATTGATATGTAAAACCCTGACTGCTTATTGTTGCCCCACTCTACCCATCTAAAATATGAAAAAATAATCAAAATGCATTTTGAATTAACTGTGTAGCTGCAATCATTTAAAAGCAATAATAAACAATGTCTACTGACCTCAGGATATGATGCTTGACCCTTAGTGTACACTATCATTAAAGCAATCCACAAATCTTGTACATGTTTGCACTGACACGATTTCATCGTCTACAATATATAGGGAAACTATGGTGTATTTTTTTGCTGAATTTAAATTCCTTATCTTTGTTTATGTCAGTGAGATCTCCAAACAAAGAAATAACAATTGTTTTTTAAATATGTAAATGAATGATTGAATATTAAATATTGCATTAAGTAAAATGTAAAAGATTAACTGGAATTTTGTCCTTTAGAAGGTCTCTCTGAAATACAGAAATTCAGATCAGAAATTTGCCCTTCCCATTTTCTAAAAGGAGGAAATCGTGTATTAAATATATACATGAAAGAAAAAAAGATGGATTTACTGATGTGCAAAAAAATGGATATATAGATAGAATAATAAATCGGTGTCTACCCGGTGATGATCCTCAAATGGTTTTTCCATCAATATCTTTTCAATCATGTATTGTTCTATATACATGTCTGGCTTGCTTCCGGTTTTTGTGAGAAACTGAATTGCAATGTCTAAGTTTTGAATTGCAGTAGCAGCCTCTGGGTGATCATCGATTTCTTCTTCAATTTTCTTGAATATACTAGATGACAGCTCCTCCTAATAAAAAATAAAACAAACACTTAGTATCTCTGATTCTAGTTAGGTATATCAGTATCGCTTACTCAAATTTGATCATGATTACCTGTTTAACTTTCAGTCTTAACTCCCTGAAGATTGTTGCATTTGTAGTCTCCGATTTGTATGTCATTATTGCGAACTATGATAAGAAAGGAAAGATACATATTGAAGTAAGAATGTATTTTGTTGTCGGATCTTATTTTTCGTATTTTTTTCGCATAATTATGTGATAAATACTATATAATCTTTCATAAGTAGTTTGAAACAGTAATAAAGATAATATTATTATGATTTTCATTAATCAAGTTTTCAATTGAAATATTTTCAATATAAAGATTCCACATTAAAACAATATCTTACTCAAAGAAACGACAAGGATAATTAATTAATAATAAAAGCTTTCAACGATAAACGCGTGCCTCTATTCTGTTTATATAAATTAATCATCACATGATAGTTTTTGTATTTTTTTTTCTTGTTACATGGTATGGTACTTGTCAATGATTTGATACATGTAATCATATTTTTATTAAAACAGTACAAGAGACCATGGATTCTATAGCATGGTTAGTACAAAAACTATAATCTAAAATACATCTATATAGTGAAAAACTTACATTTTCAAGAGTCTCTAATAGAATAACAGATTTACTGTACAAAAATCTGTCGACAATGGTACATTCAATTTCAGTGTAGTTGTAGTCGGTTTGTAAACCTTTTCCAACTTCAAACATATATTGGGAATTTGCCAAAACGATGGGAAGAATATCTCTTTCTGGGTGAAAACTAATCAGATGAGAAGCTGTCAGATCACTTAGACTAACTCTTGGAAGGTCTTTAAACCTAGGAAAACAACATATCATTATCATGTATATTTTTTCTTAAAATTGAAAATTGTTTTAAAATTTAAGAAGGAATAATTCAATTAAATGAAAGACATACACTGTATATATATTTTTGTAGAAATATGATGCATTTAACCAGTATTTAGCATGAAAGCTGAAAATATAACCTCATTTTAATATAATTAACGGTAGCACTCCAAATACTTTGATCGAGACTAACCGAAAAAGTCTTTTTTACTATATACTCACCCAATAAATGTATTCCCAACTTTTGAATACTTTTTCAGAAACTCATTTTGCTTGTTAAGTAGGAAGTACAATAAACCATACGAGCAAAGACCTTCATCAGAAAAGGTTGGAAGGAAATAGCTGATGGGACATTTTTCGTTCAAAGTGAAGTTACAAGTGTCTCCTTGTATCTGTTTAAATCCATCAGTGGTGGGAAATTCTAGAATAATAAATCAAGACTTTATATCATCTTTTTTATACTAAAGTCTTAGATATGTTTTACATCACAAGTTTATTAAGATTATAAAGTCGTAGAAATATAATAACTTTACGTTTTCGAGATATTTCTGATCATATATTGCTTACACTGCGTAAAAATATTTCAACTATTTATTTGTTTAATCAAAAACTTGAAAGCAAGAATAGCATTATTTATCATACACCTATTGAAACATTCCTATACAAAGTTAAGAAGGCAAAAAGAAATATTTTTCTATAGTCAAAATTTCTTTTCTAGCAAAGTTTAACCCCAAGGATTAGTATACAATTAAAGTATATCACCGAGGGAGATAGCAAGTTTCCATTTCCCCAAGGCCAGGGGATACGAGGCTGCGCCTCGGGAAAAAGTCCTGGTTGAGGGGAACTGGAATCTTGCTAACTACCTTTCATACCTTTCCATCAAAAAAATTAAAACACTTTTTCAATTACATTGCCAATATATTACTCATTTTAAGGTGTCATTAAGTTTAAATTATCCCTGAAAAATATATCAGAAACATTTAAATCAGAGAATATATAAAACGAATTCCACAATATTAAAAGGTGTCTTGAAACGTGTGGTAAACGACTGTCTAATCAAACGATTTAGATCATTATTAATATTTATAACGAGATTGAGTGATAAAAATTCACATTTTTTTAACTCTAAAAGTCCATACATTGGTTACAATTTAGAGCATTTTATATCTCAAATTCTATATTAATATTATTTATCCTTTAAATAATATGAAAAATATTTACAAATAAACAAGCTATCCTTTTTTTAATTTTCAATACCAAGTCAATATGATGTAAACAATACATTTAGAATTAGGTTTTTAATACCTTGATACCTGAAATATTACAATATTATGATTGTAGTAAGTGGCCAAATACATAAGAATCGACTGTACAAAATTTACTTAGATAATCGACGTGTAGGAGCCGACTCCGATGGAGTAATATTTTCTGGACCATAATCTCCTCAATAAAGACAGAGAATAATTCATTTTCTTGCTACAGCTACCTGCCAATTTGTAGCATGTCATAAGGACGTACTTTGTAGCCTTTCATCTTGTAGTAAACAGCACATGGTCTCTGTTTAATTTATGGTTTCAATAACTGATAATCTAATGTTTTCTTTTCAGAATCTTTCTTTAGATTAGTTTGACCTTTAAATCCTAAGGCATGCAAAGTTGTGGCATAACACCTTTGATCATCAATCGCATCCCGTGAAAATTGTGAGAGTGTGATTGATGTGTATGGATGCAGAATTTCTTTGGATTTGCTTTCTCGTTAAACAACGTACAACATAGTTTCTTATCCATTTGTTCACAAGCTACACTATCCCCTACTTTTTTTTATATTGTAAATGTTTAAAAATTATGAATCAGAACTGATGTCTTTTATATTTAAGCATTTTAGCAAAAGTAAGGATGAAATAAGTGATAATATTTGAATAATTTATACTTAAAAGCATTCAGGGAATATAACGGCAAAACTATTCTTAAAAATATAACAAAGTAAGCTTTGAACTGAACTGTCCTGCCTTCTGTACTTACGGAAATTCATCAATTCGTCTCTCACACAACTCCAAGCATCACTGAAATCTTTTACTAGCTTTAGCTGTTCCTGTACTTCATGCTGGTCTTTTTCATCTTTCAAAAAATTGATCAAGTATGGTCATTTAATAGAGTCAATTGCATTCGATAGTTCTTTCAGTAAAAGCGATGGTACAAGAAAATTACCTTCTGTTACAATGATCTCAAATAGCGTCGAAGCTTTTGCTCTCTCTAATTTCTTCTCATGTTTTCTTATAAGATTTTGTTGAAGCTTTATGATACTCGGTACATAACGTATTGCTCTTAGAAGTTTTTCCTAAAAAACAAAAATCTTATTATACGTTCACATTGAGCAGATCATGTTCATGGCACATACAAGCAGACAAGAATTATCTTTTTCTCTAGTTGACTATTTCAACCATAAGAAAAACAGATTTGATATTTCCTCATGTACTGTCAAAAGCATTTTATTTCTGTGAAATATTTTTTATTTGACATTGTTTGTCTGTTTAAATAGTATGCGAAATGGTGTAACAATTTGAGAAAACCTTGAAAAAAATCTTTGTAAGCATATGGATAATCGGAAGTTGAGAAAAATATTACAAACCTCTTTTAAAAACATGTGCAAAAGAGGCCATTTCTCTTCTGAAGTACTATTCAAAATTAATGAAGTGATATTTTGAACTGTAACAGCTTTTCTGCATCTCCACATCGCAGGATTATCAAATAAAGCAAGGTCTTTTAAATCCTTTCTGGAGATGTCTTCCTCGACAAGTATACGCAATAAAGGATCACTACCTATATTTAAAAATCAAAAGTCGGTGTTTTAATACTATATACTGTAAAACAACTAACAGCCGCGTGCGAGACATATCCGTGAGTTTCGCAATCTACTTTAACTCGAAATCATTTATTTGCAGATTATGTTTCCACGGTCGCATAAATTCAAGATCTGGGGTAATTTCATACCGACAAATCACCAATAACAGATGGCTTATAGTATGCTAAAAGTTGAATATGTTTAAGAATCGTGACTGTACCTTAAAATACAACGATTTATTTTTATAAAGTACTTTTTATACAAATGAAACTTTTTAAGTTTTCATAAATAAATAAATAAGAAGAAATATATTTATAACTGGTATTTCCTTTATATCATGATAAATAATAAATTTATCCTTCGTTACAATCTCTCAATAAATATATGTACCAAAGACTGATATAAAATGTATTCATCAGACGAAAATGTTTTCATTTTACCTAAGCGTTCATCTTCTGAGATATATTTGTTGTACTCGGATACAATGGTTTCCAATTCCTAAAGATGAAAACATCTTTTAAGTAAAATTTATATTTCATTTGTATCTACTTGTAAATATTTATCTATATATCGGGGTATCTATTATTCATGAAAAGTTCAAAAAAGAGATTTACTATAATTATAGACTTTTGATGAGGTCAATCCTACAATGTAGATATATAGACCTAAGAAGTGTACAATTTTATTGTTGAATGATCTGCCAGTCCATCATAAAAATTTTTAGACTGCAACGACACTGTTACGTCAAATAAGTTATTAGTTGTTCAATATCGGCATCGAAAAAGTAGAAGTTTAGGGCTGCAAGAATTGTTGTATCATGCTATTTAAATAACAGAGATATGTGAAAAGTACGTTTTGTGATGAATAATTTTTGTAATAACAATAACAACAATATTACTGGTTTTTTTATTCTCTACTTTAGGTTTTTATTGCAAAAATATTTCTGTATGACATAATGATTATATATTGATCAAATTTGTTCAAATGTGAAGGCTATAGCAAAACATTGACTGTTATAGAAAAGGATTCGGGCAACATAATGTGAAATGGCTTGGGCAGCATTTCACCTTCAGGCCCATCAAATCATATTTTGCCCTCATACCAAATCAATAATTGTTTTTTAATAATACTGTGTAAGACTTTGACGTAATTACATAACAATAATTTTAAGATCCTAAAGATAAAACAATTACCTTTAAGGTAGGCTTCAAGAAAAAGTTTGCAAATGCGAATTCCCATTCTTCACGATCTGACTTAGTATTCAACTGATGTGGAAATTCATCTGAACCTACGTAAAACATTATAAATGTTTATTATATAGCTCATAAATAGTCTGTAATAAAATACTACCAAAAATTTAGAGAATTTTAGCTTTCAATATCTTGACGTTTTATTGAACGTTGAGTTTGTATTACGTAAATAAGTATGCCTTTGAAATATAAGGTAAAAAGTTGAAGTCAGCAGTTTAAAAATATAAATGTTCTAATACAAAATTAACATAATTCGAATCTGCCAGAAAATCATGGATCATACAACTCAGAACTGCTTATATGTGCCACGTGAATTCTAAAATGACATGTGTCTACACTATGGAGATTATTATAATTGAATATTACCTAAAAGAATTAAGAATACTTTACTTGTAATTGGATATCCAAGTCTCTGACAAATCCCATGAAGTATAAGGTAAACTTCGTCTTCATTCTTGCCTAGTACGCATACCAGGGTCCTTATATCAACTTGAATATGTTTAAACAGGAATGGCAAAATTTTGTCAGATGAGACGGATGGATAAACCATTTTTGAAACGTCCTATAGAAAAATAATTTTACTCATAACAAGAATAACAAGCCAAATCGTTTCCATATTTTTTATTTACATTGAAGAAACATGGTGAACATATCTGATAAATACATATAAAAATAAACGTTTGCTGAATGCAGATCATAACAGAAGGGTTGGGACGTGTGTTTAAAACATTGAGGGCCATAACGTATATGGCAAAACTGTATATAAAGAAAGAAAAAAGTTAATATTTAGGTACCTCGAGTTTGGAACAAGCTCCTAGATACATTGCTGCATTTGTAAAGAATCTCAAGATAGCACACTCTTTTGGTAGCAGTTTTCTTTCCGGTGTAGCAGTTGAATTTCTTGCCTCCGGTGAGCCCAGAATATGTCCAAGTTTCGTCTTATCGTTGCTTATTAGAAAAAAAAATATTGAAAAATATAAAATTGTTGAATGAAATTTGGTCAATAATATTGTCCAGCCTTTAAACAGATGCTTTATAAACTTAAAACTTATAATTTGTTAAATTATTTCATCATATAAAGTACAGTTTCTATTTTACACAGAATCTTTTACATATTGGCTCTAAAAATTCGAAAGAAAGGCTTTCCAGAGAATATATGGCAGTGTACTTTGTGCTTCTACCTCTCTGAAATTAAAATGTATGATGTCATAATTGAAAATGACATGAAATCACTGCAAATTTGAACTATAATTGTGAGGAGACTGCAATTTTAACATCTAATTCCAATCAGCAAACCTGTGTATAACAACAAACAGTTAATATGCGAGGGACATGGACAGTTTCATCTGAAAAAAATTATTTATATATTTATTTATTTTTCCATTTTAATGTTAACATATACATGTATATTACTAGGGTACTTTATATGATTATCAAAGAATTTCATTTCGGTGTCGATATACATTATGAAGAATATTAAATTCCGTATCTCTTTTGTTAATAAAAAAATTATGTTTAAATTTTTGCTGATCATTTCAGTTTTCTTAATAAGGAATTGTAATCAGTTTTAATTGTGACCACGTCTCTAAAACATTAACGGATTTTAATGTCCGAAAAGGACAAGATATGGTAAGGCCCTTTTATGGTACCTGACTTTGATTGTTCTTTAGAATGATATAACAGTTTATCATTAATAAAAACCTGTTGTTGCCTCTGACACAATTTAAATGTTAGTTCCAAGTAATGTGATAACAGAGGTCACAGACAGTGAAAATAAATATGTTATTTTTCGAATGTTCTCATTTTTATGCAAGTTTTCATCGACTTTACAGCAAATTTGTTTCAGATATCATACAGCACAAGCTTAGCTATCTGCCAAATATATTAATATCACTCGCTTATATCAGATGCATCTTATGTATGAAAATCTCAGATAGGCAAGCTTGTGCTCTATGTTTGCGAAGTGGAATCTTTTGACGAAATTCTCACTGAATTGAGATATTGCGGGAAAACGTCTCACTTTCGTGCCTTTTTTTGGTCCCGGTTTAAGTTTTCAACCGAAAGAAGTAATGACTTCGAATCAAGCATCATTTTACGTTCTTATAACACATTAATACAATTTTAACTGTCTTCTGGTTTTTATTTCAAACAAGGGGACAAATTAAAATAAGCATCATTTTTAAGTTTCACGATAATGTTATACATTTACGAGGACTGATCTACAATTCGTTGACATTTTCAAATTTTGTTATTCATCAGTGAAAGTATTTGAAAATTACAAAAGTAACCATATACACTAGTTGATTTCTTTTCATATATAAAAACGATTTTTAATATCAATGATAACAACAATTTGATAGTCGCCATAGAAACAGATGATTGATTGTAAATCGTTTAACTCATATGGAGACACCACCATTTGCCTGTGGAGTGCTGCAAATTTTATCCTATACTCGGCACTTAAGGCCATTGAGCAGGGAGGGATCTTTTTGTGTAAGCACCTACTGCGGCACGGGACCTCGGTTTATACGGTCTCACCCGAAAAATCTCCGGAACGCTTTAACTACTGAGAGAGGCTGGACAAAAATCCAGTGACCAACTGGAAAAACAGAGGCGACAGAAATTTAAGGAACACAGAACTTTTATGGATTTCTTTTTTAAAATGAGGCCGTTCTATTTAAGGTTATTTTCTTTCCTTGTAGAAAAACTGTTAACAAAGCGCTAATGTACTTGGACTCCCAAAGTATTGTGCTTGACATTGTCACATTGAGATATACCAGGTATTAACAGATTAACAGTTTAACCTTTCGCAATCTCGTTCTGGTACACAACCATTTTTTTAACAAAAATGTTAAGAATGATTCTGTTAATCAAATATTTTGAAGCGATTAATGTGAAACACTTTAAGAATTTTAAATGACAATAACGTGATCAAGAAGTCATCTGATAACATATATAAAATGTTTTATATAGCTAAGAAAACTCTTTAGATAAATTGGCCGAACTAACCTTGGCTGAACGTAACTTAAAAAAAAATCAAAACCAACCTTGTAATGCAGTGATATGCTTGAACGCATTTAAAGCTTTGGAATGCTTTAATGTTGCTGCTTTATTAAGCTACATGTTTGAACTTTTCTTTAGATTAAACATACTTGTAGTACTAACCTTTTGGTTCCTCAATCTTAATATCAAACTATGTTTCTTGCTAAATACCAGTAGTAAATATCTTATAAAAAATCAGCTTAAAAATGATTAGTATACTATTTAAAAACCCAGTTACCCGTTATCCTTTGAATTTGTTTCAAGTAATTTTTTCTCATGTCCTCCAATTTCTTTCCGACAGTCAGGGCACCTTCCAACAACTTCTGGTTTACCACACTTCATAAAAAGAAAGTTCATTACAAATATATTGTTAGAATTTTATTTACATGTATTATTTCTTAAAAACCAAGGAATTCCCTGTATTGTGAAATTTCGGGTGATTGTTTGGTTAAAAGTGACCTAGTGATTCATGAAATGAATACTACTGAATAACAATACTATAAAAATCATATTAACACAGCCAATTCAAACAAAGTTTTATAAATATTAGAAAACACTGGATTTGTTTTTTTCACTCCCAAGTTTTTTAGTTGCATACATGTATTGCCATGACCATAATAAATGCAAAAAGTAAGTAAGATGATACGGCTTGCTTATTCCGTACGCTTAAACCAATCATAAATCATAAAATAAACAATAAATGTGGCTATTAAGTTTAACATGATAAAAAGTAAGTAATTCAATGCTCGTAGTCCTGATTCTCAAATAAGCTTTAAGGTTTATTTTCAAATAAATAGATTTATGTTTAAAATTTCGTGTATATATTTTTGTCGTTGTCAATGTATTTATCTTTTTGTTATTTTAGAAAACCTTTAATTTGTAAACACGGTTCTTTCTATGATCCAGTTTACCGCATCCATAAGTTTTATCAAGGCCTTAGCTGTTTCAGCCAATCAGATTTCTGTGCAAGGCATCCTATTTATATACTTCTTCGTTTACTTGGAGTGCTGCCGTGAAATTTTTGTGGACAAAAAAGCAACCGCCACCTCTACTCCATCCCCTACATTGTTTTAATTAACCAAATTATTTTGATTTGTGTTTGCGGAGGTGCTTTTTATGCACCACGTTTGTTTACAATCAAGTTTGATGTTGTATTTTACCGCATTATCACATCTGTATGTTGTAACAATATTGTGGCTGGAAGACCACTAATTTGTAACCATTTATTGAACTGCATTTCTGGTCAAGCTTTTCATGATTCTGGTATGCCTCCCGGCCAAATTCTTTGTTTTTATTTTTTCGTCATTTAAATAAATGACAAGATTTTTACACTTAACATGTCTTCTGTTATGTATCTTGGAAACAAACAGAGCTGCTATGTTGTCTTGCTCTGCCAGTAATTTAAAGTTTTAACATAAAATAATTTCTGATATATCTTCATACTTAAGTTTTTTTAAGAATTTCTTAAAATTGGTTTCAAAAAATTACATTAAAAGAAACACCAACCTCGCCAACAAAGTAAATGTGTCCATCCGGGCAGGCTGGAAGATTAAAAAATATGTGTTCTGCAAAAGTCTTTTTAAAAAAGAATATTCCTTTAAAAGAATTTTGTTCTTTTTTGTATGAATATTTTTTTTAAAAACTTTCTTATTTTATACATACCATAAGACATTGGAGTATTTCCCAGTTCACGTTCTGCAGCAAAAAGTATGTTTCGTATTTTGTCGGAATCGTCCTGAGGCATTGTTGGTAAAAAGGATTCCTAGACACACAAAAAATATGTATTTTGTATTCAAATTTAATGTTCTAATATAATTTTAAGTGGGAGTTTAAAGTTTTGGCTAAATTTTGAGGGTGCTGGGAGTGTTAAAAATGAATATTGTTGAAACTTAATTGCGCTTTATTTTACATAGCTTCTTTAATAAAAATTTTAAAATCGCTAAAATTACATTTGGCTAAAAATTAAATGCCAAATATAAAGTTCAAATCATTAAACTTTTATCTCAATAAAATTTCCATTTCTACGGTATTCAGTATTTCCTTCAGATATTTTTCATTCCTGTAAAAAAACCCTAAATATAGCAATGCGTCTAGCAAATGACAGTATTAAAATGACATTCAAAAAATACATATCTTACTTTTATACCGATAAAGACATTGAAAAATAATTACAAGAAGACAAGTATTAGTAAAGACCTTTAATTTATCTGGAAAAAACAGCAGATTGTATAATGGTCCTAACATTGGCGCCTCATCAAGATTTCTGGAGAGCGTAATGTATAGGTGAAACAAGAGACACGCAATATTTTGTTCCTCAACTGGCATCTCAACTTTTATTTTAAGTAAAGAGTCGCCTTCAAAGATCTCATTACGTAAAATTGAAATGATGAGGTCAACCTGCAAAGACATTTGAAACATTTTTTTTTAAAATACGTTGTATGTATTAACATTTTTAACAAACCCCGAATTTTTAATACACATATAAACGACAGCTCTACCTTATTTTCAAATTCAGCATTTTTTTCCATTTTATTTTAATATTCAAATATTGAGGGTTTCAAGTTGAAATTAGAGAATGCATAAAGATATCCATCTCATCGTGTGATTGTAATGAACTCGAGATACATTCAAAGTGACACATTTACAATGTGAGTGGGCTAATTTCATTGTAACTTTGCTTGTTCGTATTTCTTTTGGTTCAAAAATTAGCTAAACGATCTTTTAACGTCTAATTACACCGCAAGCTATACAAAACTTCATGCTTCAAAAAAAATCGGTGATATTTAGAATTTAAAAAAAACAAGTGGATGACAAGGGAAGTGGACGATATAAAAGTTAAAGTCGTCACATTTGTAATAATGCTTCGTTATTAGGTTATTAAATGCATTAATGCCTTTTCCTAGTCAAAAGTCCAAGTGTTATGCAGATGTGTCTGTCTTTGTATACATAGTACAGTAAAACTCGGTTAGTACGAACACTGATATTGCGAATTCACGGATATAGCGAAGTCATTTTGGATCCCCAGCTATATAAATTTAATGCATTTCTTATACGGTTAGAACGAATTACGGATATAACGAAGTAATTTCATAGGTCCCAGCCACTTCGTTATAACCGAGTTTTACTGTATTTCAAATTTCAAGCTCTCTGGGATATACCGTTTCGACATTTGAATAGCAATAAGTTTTCTAAATTCAAAATACGTTGTCAGGTTGAAGGCAAAAGCAAGTTTTCTTTTTTCTTTTTCACATTTACAAGACTTTGAATTGGCTTACTGTTTATAAAATAAATCTGTTTATAATGTGATGCAGTTGGTATCGATTGGAATTCCAAAAGAATTTTTGAAGACCTGGTCTTCTAAATGTTGATGATTTTGCCAATCAGAAATTAAGCATCCTATTCATTACAACTTTAAAATATAAAGCAAGAATAGTTAAATGTTAAATGTAACTTTATTTTTTGTAAGGCGTTACTCTTAATTAAGAATGTATTGATTCAGTGGGAACAAAATTACCTGATTTGTGAAAAGAGTTGAACTACGGATATATTTCTCCAGCCATGCAAGACCCTAAAACGATTCAATTAAATAAACTGACATATGATTATAATTAAAATTAAAATGATTGTACCGTTTACATCTTTCATTCGTATTGAACCAGATGTTAATGAATCATGAATAATTATTTGACATTGCATTTTCGTTATATCAGTCTAGAGGGTTTTTTTTGCGTATCTACTTTCCATTTATTTTCAAATTGGTGAACTATATCATCATAGAATTATTAATTGAATTTATAGGATACTTCAGAGGTGAATTTTCGTCCAGAGTCTGGATACAAGAACGACAAGGTGACCTCTCTGAAAATAGCCAGGGAGCATATTTTTCCCTTTTCATCATCTGACAATCTTGTTACCTAAAATTGGAACCAAAAAAAATGAACTTTTAGTATTTAAGTGGTTGAAATGATTTTTTTGGCCTAACTGAAAAAAATATTCAGTAAACCCAGTTATCTAAAACGTCTAGAAATGTGCATGAATGGTAGAATTGGGCTATTTATTCACCTTTCAGTAAAATGAATTACAAGGTTCATGATGAAAAAAAATGTATATTTCACTATCAAATAGGAAGTAAGAGACACACAATTCTTAACAATACTGCTGCGTCACTATTAATTTTTTTAATATTGACAATTTACTCCCTCCCCCGTTTTCCAATCGTACCTATTTCTTTATTGCATGATGATTGATAAAATTAACAGTTTTGGTGTGATCTTATTGAGAGAAAAATATCCAAAAATGCTTTGTTTAAATATAAATATTGACGTTATATTTTTTTCACATGTGTAAAAAAACATAGGGCCAATTACTGTATTTTTTTTCAATTAATGCATTTTTTTAGTAAACAAATTATTTTATAATGTATTCTCTGACCATTAAAAAATATTTGCTCAGATTGAAAAAGGTAAAACATTAATTGAAGGAGCTATCCTTTTAAAAACACTGTTTATCTCCAATCTTTTTTTGTCAAATATTGCTTCTAGTCGTTACTATCGTTTATCTTACCGAAAGTTCATTCTCCAAGGGCAACATAGATTTACCCAAAATGCATTGTGTAATGTTTTCCCTGATAGACACATAGCTTGGTCCGCATATGATAAATCTGTCCTCGCATTCAGGTACCTATAAATTTAAGATAAGATTAACCACTAACATTTAAATCTTTTCTTTGAAAAAAAGCCTGATGACATATATATAATTACTTAACAAAAACAAAATAATTTTCCTTACTTTTATCATTGCTATACTTATTCGGAAAAAAAAACACAAATATATTTTTATCATATTAAGCACAGCAATCATAGATTATCTCTTGTAAATAAAAAAAAGTGCGTTCTGAAAAATAAAGCATTGCATTTCTGCGCACCTAAGCTTGAAAAAATATAAAGGAGAATAAGAAAAAACTATATATATATTCAACTAACTAATTGCGTTATACAAATCAGTTTCCGAATTGTTTTTTTTTATAATGAATGTATCTGGGTATCATAAAACTCAATCATACATTCTACTCGGTTTAAAACTCGCCTGAATTTGCAGTCCATCATTTTTTGTGGGAATCGGTGTAATAAATTGAAGAAAATCTTTCTATATGGAGTAAACAAGCAGCTACCATACAATTTAGGGACAAACACTTTTAAGTTATTACACGGAGACGCCATTTTTAGAATAGAAACAAAACATTTATATATTGTATTATCAGATTCATTGCTCAGATTTTGATTTATTTGCTTGTAAAAATTGTCTTAATTATATTTTTTATCCACGGGTTGAAACAATGATGAATTCATTGATCATTGATGCATGCGGTGCATCTGGTTGTGTTGATATTTATTTTACTCTCACAAAAGTCACAAAACTTGAACACAGGGCATGCTCTTTAACTAGTCCCTGCTATATCTAATTTACTGAACAGCTATCGAAATTTTTTGAGAGAAACTATGAAAAGAATTGAAACTTAAATAGGGATAAAACATGAATGACACTTTGTGTATTCATTAAAGAAGAACAAAATATCGGTGTAAACCTAGAGTTGTTTTTTTTTCATATAATTCAATGTTTAACTTTACCATTAAGAGTATGATATTTCTAAAAATCCAAATCATGTTAGCATTTATCTATTTTGACGTTGGAAATTGTTCGCGCGAGTGCTTGTATGATAACAAGCAAACTCTTATTACTCAAATTTTACTCAGGTACCTGTGTTAATCTTTGTAAATTATCTGCGTAAACACACTGCACATAACAGAAAATTTCAGAAAGATGCACTTCTGTTTAAGCCCATTCATGTAAGTTGGGACAGCAATCGTATATAATTGTGTATTTTTTAATGTATCATGTTGATGGTTTCTGTACTGGGAATGAATACATTTATTAATAGACTAAGCAGTTTGAAAAAAAAACATTTTTTTTAATTTCAAGACAAAGTGCATACGGCAGGTGTGACCAGCAGGCAGGAGAAGCTCATTCCTCCATGGTGCCTGATCCTACTTCTGACTGTTTAATGAATATTTGAGCTAGAAAACTGTTCGTTATCTCAATACATTTCATGTTCCTTATAAAGATGTCCATGAAAATAATTCTTTAAACATGTTAAACATCCAACAAAATAACTTTTCAATCAAGTAATTCACTTTTATTTATACTTCTTTAGGAGAAAGGAATTTTCTCACCTTTTGTGCAATTAATTCGGGAATTTCCATGCATTTTTTCATATCGTTTTCTTCCGACGAATATATGTCCCTGAAGACGTCAATGTTGTAATCAAGGCACAATTGTTTGATAACAAAGATACTACAAATAAATGCATCAATTTTTTAAGTAAAATTCTTAAAATACAGAGATTTACTAGTATATATAATCAAATGAAAATAAACACTCTCTGGGAAATATTGCTTTTTCAAGAATAAAAAATATAAGGTGTTCTCGGGTTGTTTCCGTTATTTACTATGATAATGGTACAGTCGACCAGAAGATTGATTTTGGCTGTATGTAGGTTTACGTCATATTCGAGAATTTATCACTCATAAATATACGTCACCAAACACCGCTGACGGGATTACTCGGCACTCAGGGTCATCGGGTATTTTTTTTATCCGACGCCTACTGTGATATAGGGTCTCGGTTTTTAAAGTCTTATCCAAAGAACGCAAAACTCACTTTTCAAAGTGTCGATCGCCAGGCAAATAAATAGTTGCTACCTCGTTTTTTTCCCCGATTTATGTCAGTTGCAGTCATGACATAACTTTGCAATGCCATTTGAAAACAGGACCTGCTAATCATGAAGCGTCTATCGACTGAGGCAAAGTGACGTACAGTAGCAGCCAAAAGAACAAGAGTCTCATGGGCCACATCGCTCACCTGATCACTGTGGTTGGAAACAAGCAAATATCAATTCAATTAATGCGAAAGTTGTCTTGACCCTAAAAAGGATGTATGGTTTTAAGAAATTTACATCTACCCAAACCAATCTAAACTAAGGATGGTTATATTTTTTTTTAAAACTTCTTTTTCCCCTTACAAGTTTAAAATTTTATTGTTGTCCCACCCTTCCCCCTGGGGTCATGATTTTAACAAATCTGAATCCCACTATACCTAAGGATGCTTCCATGAAAACATAACCAATAACGACTTAGTTGTTCTTGTGCATGTTGAGAAGATTTTTCCAATATCATTCCTATGAAAAACTTTGATCGTCCACTGTGACCCCGACCTAACCCCATGGGTCATGATTTGAACAAATTTGAATCTACCCCACCTGGATGATTCCATATAAATATGACTAACCATGACTTTGCTGTTCTCAAGATAATTTTATTGATAGTTTCATATATATTCCTATATAAACCTTTGATCCTCTATTGTGGACCCACCTTACCCCAGAGGATCATAATTTGTACAATCTTGAATCTACACTACTCGAGGATGCTTCTATATAAATGACAATTTATGACTTTTCTGTTCCGAAAAATTTGAATAATTTTTTTTCTATTTATCCTAATGTAAAACTTTGACCTCCATTATATCCACACCCTTCCCCCGGCGGTCATAATTAGAACAATCGTTAATCTACACTATCCGAGGATACTTTTATATAAATATGATCAATCATGACTTTGCTGTTCTAGAGAAAATGTTTTTAAAAAAATTCCCTATATATTCCGATGTAAAACTTTGATAATCAATTGTGGCCCAGCCCCTGCCCCTGGGGTCATGATTTGAACAAACATGAATCTACACTACCTGAGAATGTTTCCATTTTAGTTTCATATTTCCTGGCCAAGTACAAGTGGTTCTGGAGAAAAAGATTTTTAAAGATTTTTCCTCTTTGTATATTCCTATGTAAAACTTTGAACATCAATTGGGGGACCGTTCTACCCCCAGAGGTAATGATTTGAACAGAAATGAATCTACTGTACCTGAGGATGTTTCCACGTAAGTTTCATTGTAAGTTTATCTGGCCCAGTGGTTCTTCAGAAGAAGATTTTTGAACAATACCATGAATTTTTCAATAATTATTAATTACCCCCCCCCCTTGGAAAAGGGTGTGGCTCTCTATTTTTTAAACCTGAATTCCCTTTTTCTAAGAATACTTTATGGCAAGTTTTGTTGAAATTGGCCAAGTGGTTCGTGAAAAAAAGTCGAAAATGTGAAAGGTTTATAGACAGACGGACATAGACAGACAATAAGACGGTCAAACAGACGCCAGAAAAAAATGTGACCAGAAAAGCTCACTTTAGCTTTTGGCTAAGATGAGCTTATAAGATGTATATGTATTTTATCATGAAACATATGGAGATAATGAACAGTATTTAAGATTAAAAACTCCATAAAACGATACTAAATAAAAGCAAAGCAAACACGGACCTCGAAAAAATCAAAGGTGGAATCAGATGATGTGGACGCATTAACATTCCCTGCCGAACTATCACAACTGCCGTGTGCTCGTCATAATAGGGAAATAACGAAAAAAATCCGTAGTCAATTCATTACATAAATGATGGATTAAAATAAGTATGAAAAACGTAAGGCATCATTTGACTCACTGATAAATAGTATTTGCTGACAAAGTCATTGTAATGACCATAGAACTTACAAAATGATGACTTTAAACGAGGCTGCTGATAGTCTTGTTTTATCAACTTGTTTGTCAATAATTTGCTTCGTTTTTTTAAATTGTTCATACGTATAGCATGCTCTTGGATAATCTTGGATAACAAATCAAATGAGAAATATTAACCATTAACATCTTTTTAAAGTGAAATATCCAAATATGAAACAGATATTTCAGACTCTGAAGTAACCTTTATTTGATAAAGTTAATTTTAAGTAAAAGAGATATTAGACACAAGGACTACACATGTCTTTTATTTGGTGATCACGTTTTTGAACAAAATCACTTTTCTGATCATAATAATCATAATTCTTTTCAAGTATAAAGCTAAAGTGTCTAAACGGTCACTTAAATAAAAGAAAACTCTGAAGATCCATAGAATGATATGATTAAACGTCCCTAATACACAAAGTAATCTTGCTAAAAGCCGAGAAAGAGCTTTATCAGGAATTTATAAAATTATTAGTTAGTAGCAATTCTTAAAACATTGTCTTTGAAGAACATTTATTGAACATCTTTTAGAGATTTTTGTCTCATTTTTATTTCTTTAGTATATAAAACTTTTGATCTTGACTTCTCATAAAATGTCCACAAACTGAACTATCCATGTCCTTATCTGACTGCTCTTATCTTCCTAGATAATGACATGGATAGTACCATCAAGACAGAAAAGCCATTGTCTCGCCAAAACATGTTGAAAGACTGTGTCATGGACGTAATGATAATAACATGTTAATAATTATCACATCTTATTATCAGAAAATCATCTTATTAAGATTGGAAACTTTCTCTAATTGATAAAGAAAAAATACCTAGAATATCTTGTAGAACTCTCCATGCATAACTTTACTGCTGCCTTAAAAAGTTGTCTCGTTTCTTCTGTTCTTCTCATAGACTTTTCAACTATAATCTTGTATAGGTATTTTGCTGCAATACGTAATCCAAATCTTGCCTCTGAAATCCTAAATATTTCGTCAACAGCATCCATGCCCATGTTCTGTTTTTGAGCCTCACAAAGAAAATCTGTAGCTCTATTTATCTCTTCATTGTTGTCCTCCTCAAGTTGCATCACTCTTGAACATTTTTGAAGATATGAATCCTATAATATATAAATTAACTCCAAATTGTTTTTGAGTTTCAAATGTTTACATGTTGCACTAGCTGCAGAACTGTAGCTCTCTGCTTGAGAAAATTCGGACAGATAAAGCAGAGAGCTACAGATCAAACCTTTTTAAAAACCTTCGATTTACGCCGACGTTTTTTTTTTTTTTGTCGCTACTTTAGGTATTTATTTCGTGTAGTTGAAACTTTCTCTTGCTTTTAGAATTGCATCCTATAATAAATCATATATTTAACTCTTATTCATAATACTATATCAAGGTTTATTAACCTTTTAACGGTCCGAAACAGTCCTGTAAAAAAATTTGTAATGTCGGTTTAAAAGAGTTCGATTTCGACGTTCGTAACCACAAACAGCCATTTGTTAGCATCAAAAGGTAAGAAGAAATCAGGAATTGTAGTCAAATGTATGATTAATTATTAAATACCATTTTTAGACCTGGTGAAAGTATTAAACACAAGAAAAAATACCCGAAGTGAGCGACAAAAAATCGTCGGCGTAAATCGAAGGTTTTTACAACAGTTGGATCTGTAGCTCTCTGCTTTATCTGTCCGAATTTTCTCAAGAAGAGAGCTACAGTTCTGCAGCTAATGTTGTACAAGTAATGTACAGATAAAACATTATTTTTATACATAATGAATGACATTAACATACACAATCGAAAGGTATACACTCAAAGAAACTAATTCTTTAATATTTCAACTTTAATATTTTAGGAGATAGCATATATTTATCATGTTCGAAATTTCCAGCTACATTTTGAATTGCTAGACTTTTCAAAAATAAAGTATTTCCATTATTAACCAAATATTACCTCAAGGCAGTACACAACTGTGGAATAGAAATCGCCAGACACGTCTTCATTTCTGGAGAATAGGTTTGAGGTATCCACAATGTATTTTTTCAAATGAATTTTTACTTCAGTGAAACTGAAAACATAATTTTTATTTTAATGTAACTTTTCTCTTTTTTTTAATATAAAAAAGGATAACATATTGAAGATTAGCGCAAGACATCGTTCGGACATATTCAGGACATTTTTATATGGCAAAAACAATCATTAATATTTTTTCAATTTGTCGATTAAAAGGTTCTGTGATTTCAGTTAAGATTTTTCTCCGTACATACTGTAGATTGGCAAATATTCACGATGGTTTTAATTTCGCTATGTTCGCGATTTATTAATTTTCCGCGAAATTAAACCCATCGTGAATGTTATTATTAGTTTTTAATAATGTTAAATTGCTTAAACAAAATTTTGAATTAATTTCTTGTAGCGTGAAATTAAAACCATCGCAAATAGGACTCTTTGAGATATCGTGAAATTTTAAATCGTGGAATTAGTTATTTTTATCGATTAATTCATATTTTCTACTGTTTTAACGATACTTTTTCTGTTCCAAGTTTTAAATAAATATTTACAAATTACAAAAGGCTCTTAAATAATTATTCTTATTATAATATTATACTCAATTTTCCTCAATAAACATCTAATTTGTTTCAATTCAGTATCAATATCATAACACCCATAATGTAATGGTATTATCATAGAGAGAATACAACGGTGTGAGATTTAACACCAAGCAGTTATATATTAATGATAATAATTGATTTGATCATTTATGTAAATTACACATAACAACAGCACTACTGGCCAGACGTGCCTCGCAGCGGTCCAGACTCCACTTAAAATGTAATTTAAAAAATTAAATAAATAGAGACAATTAGGATTGTAAGAGTTATAGATTTTATCATTATTTGTTTCATTCTTCATGACTTTTTAACCTTTTTACCTCCCGAAGAAAAGACAGGGCGTCCCGAAAATTGACATCATAAAAGCATATACATGTATTTTCTTCATGTTTGAAACAAGATGATACATACATGTACTAATAAAGAAACCAATCAATACTGTCTAAAGGGAAATTTTTGCCCCATTTTATTTTCGCCCCTTTCGCCCTACCCTCATTTCGGCGAATTTAAAACGGGGCAAATTCTAAGAATACAGTTTAATTTCAGAAATAAACATTTGACTGGGCGAATTTAAAACGGGGCAAAATTGTTTGCAAGTGTGAAAGGGCGAAAATAACACTGTATAAAGTAGTTAAAGTCAGAAGACCTGCATAAATAACGTTTTTATCTTTGATTGGAAAAGGAAAATCGGGGTTAAATTTTAGGAACATCTTTCTTGCAAATAAAAATGTCTCCTGACTGACAAAGAAAGTTTTTGAGTTGCTAATGAAGAGCTTACCGTTTCCTAAAATTTGACTTCAAACAAAATATTTTTAAAACACTGAGTAAAGATTACAGAGTTTTGAAACAGATAGCTATTACGAAGGTGGAATTCATTTCTTTCTAAACAATAAACATTTAAATTTGTCTTTAAACTACCTCAGATTGACTTACTTTGCCCGTAACAACTGTTGTAAAAGGAACGTTCTCAAAACTGGGGTCGTGTCGACAACAGGGTCAACATCTACTAACGAGAACTGTTTGGTTGCTTTACTTGTTGGATCGTCTGATTTTGTTTTTACCACCACATACGTCATCAGTTTTTCAACTACGTCCTTTCTTGGCACGGCGTCGTCGGAAAAACAGAGGTTTGATACAATAGCCATAAAGAAGTCATTACAACTCTGTTGATATGACTTAAGTTCTTTCTCAACAGCACTAAAATAAAATTTTAATTTTTAACTGACATGTTTCATAAGAAATTCATATCAATGTAAAGAAAGTATTGAAATTATATTTATATTTTATCGGCAAGGTTATTCATTAGAATTTGGTTTAAAAATATTCTTACACACACTGAAAATTTTTTTCCAAGATTTTGGCCAGTTTATAAACGATTTTTGACTTGTGTTTCATTTAAGTTTCTTTTCTTTTTTTTGGAAAAAAAATTGAACTCAAATTCAACATTTTTTTATATTCTACATAAAATAAGTAGAATGCAAAAATATTATTTTTATTATGTGGAGAAAATGTTGTTTTTTCTAATACATTTAAGGCTAACAAAATGACACTCGAAAGGATAACGTCCGAGTAAAATAAAGCTCTCTTAGATTTTATTTTTCCGCAGCCAAATAAATAATAACAAACATAGAAATATTAATTCTACAATACATTAAAAAAAGTGTTGAAAATATACCTATCAATGTTTATGGAATTGTATTTCAGGTCTTCTGGGAACGGCTTTTGACAAGACGGACATACTCTTTTACCCAAGATTGAAGTTTCCTTGTAGCATTTTAAACAAATAACATGGTCACATGGTAGTTTCACTGGCTGGTCAAAAATACCACATTCACAGTTCGTACATTTCATCTGTTCTCTGAATTAAAAAAAAAAGCAATACAAACAGTGTAATGTGAAAATTTAAAAATGCAAAACATTCTTGGAGAAAAAATAAATGCACTAAAACATACCCATAAACTTTTTTCATCACTTCTCGCATGCAAATTTTCAAGAATTTTTCGAGACGATCTAATGAATCTATGCTTGATGTATCGGTAAGTGTCTTTAACATCTGAATGAAAGCAATAAATCGATTGATTAGTTCGATAGTTCTGGAAATAAATTGAACTAACAAACAAACAATTATATATAACTCAATATGTAAGTGTATAATGTAAGGATACTAATATTGATGCGCGTGCAAAAAGGTGAATATTAGATAAAATGAGAAACTAAACCCATATAGTATTAAACGTTTTTTTATGCATTTGTGCTTTTTTTTCCTAAAAAATATTCTATAGACATTTCATTACAAAGGGATGCTTTCAAACATATCCGTTTAATAGCCTTAATTTTTAAATCTGAAAGAGAAATGAGGGATGTTATTTAATACCTTTCCAAAAACACTTTAACTTTTTAAATGACTTATTTGATTTATTATATTCAAAGAAGAAAGAAATATTACCATCCAAAGAACCATGCATTTGCTTGATTGGTCTTCCTTCACTGAACATACATGTCTGATGAACAATTTCACAACAGCAATTTTCTTCCATCGACAACTTCAAAAATTAAAACACAAAATAATCTACATCCATTTATACATACCATACGCATTTTCTAAAAACTCTTAAGTTTATTCCTCAGCTCTAAGTGTTAACCTGTTTTCTCAATTCCAGAATTACCCAAAATGTAACACCCTTATATTTCATAATTTCTTAAGATCATAACATTAATGTTATAATGTCAAGGTCATTAAAGAATAGCATTTCTAGATTCAGGATTGGTATCATTCATGTATGAATAATTTGATTTTATTTATTTGGATATCTAAATTTTAATTCAAATACATTAAATGTAAGTTGAAATGGTTTCTTAGTTGTTATAAAAGAGTTTTAAACAATAAATGATGGGGAAAAAAATTGTAGTTTAACGAAGAATTTACGTCATATGACATCATATCTAGTTTATATATCTAGCCTGTGCTTGATCCATTATGACGTTACATTTAAACTTAATTTAATGTTTTATTACCCCGTTGTTTATGGCTTCAATAAAATAGTAGAATATAAAACATTTTCAACTAATACTTCTTGGGTCGACAGTGTGTCGCGCACAAAAAAAGGTCGATCTGACCTTTAATTTAGATGCTATGGCCAAATGTTGAAAAATCCTGTCCAACTTGTGTGGCGGTGCCGCCAAGTTAAACGACCCATGCAGAACACTGGTGTAATTGTTATTTATCTAGTCTAATTTTAAACACATTCTTTTGATCTTGACTCCAGTTCTCATGCATATATGATGCAATCAAGGGCAGATAAGTATACATTCTCTGTACTTGGAAAACAGTAAGGACAAAAAATGGAATTAGTTTATTGCATGACAGTGTAAAATTATTTTTATCATTTTAAATTTGGTGCCAAATTAACAGACTTTTGAAGTAAATATACAAAGGTTAAATAATTAAAGAATTAAAGCAACCGAAACGAACGAAAAAATCCAAAACATATGTACAGCGTAAAGTGCTGTAATCCTTTCGTGTTGTCTATCATGAAATGATGTGCATTTCTTCTCATAAAAAAATTGTTTATTATCATGCATAATCATAGTGCTTGGTGTTTGATTACACTTTTTCAATAAAATATGATCTTTTTGATTAAAAAAAAATACAAAGTAAATATCAATAACTATTTCTTGTTAGTTTGCATGGAGTCATGGACAGGAAAATATTTGAATTGCTTTTTGTAATTATTTGTGTACGTATTTCTTCATTCTTCATCATTTGAAAGATTGAAAACATTCTGATTAAGACTTCTGAAAAATATTTACAAATTAAGAGTGGGAAATCGACTAAAAATGGTTCGTTTGCCTATATATATATATTCTTTATAATATGGACTTATATGTCAATGGCAAAAAAGAATTAATTCTTGAGAAATATTGGTTCATACTGTTCAGATGATCAAGTCTAATAACAATGATGTTTAACATGTTTAAAGACGTGTTTATTTTTTTTATTATTATTTTCATATTCACTTCATGATAAGTATCACTAAACATGAATGAAAATGTGAAGTAATTACCATTCAAAGTTTGAAAGGCTGCACTACGTCTAATTACAAAGAAACATTGATTGATAAGCAAGATCTACATGTAATTTATCATTTTGAAAAGTTTTATTTTCTTCTGACAAAGACTTTTTGACATAGGTTAGATCTACTGTAAAAAAGTTAAAGTTTTAGAAAAAGAGAGCATAATTGTTTCAACAAAATCTGCTTTCCATCTATTCTTTAGCAGATTACATGCATACCAAGGCCTGTTTACCTTATATCTGCAAGATATTTTTTGCAGAATTCTCCTAACGGTCTTGTGCCAGGCATTTTCTCTTTTAATGACTCTAGGATGCTCTCAGTAACAAATCTGATTCGATTAACATTTTGTAGCCATTTTTGTCTCTTTCCTCTTGCGTCTTTAAATGTTTCATTTTCGGGTTCAAGATTTTGCAAAAGCAAGCTAAGCCCAATGACATCCAATGTCTGAAATGAAATAAAAATCCCCTAGCTCTGAATCAATGGTTAGAATACTGTTAAGGACAGATGATACAAACAAATTTTTTGTTTGAAAAAGATTAAATATCATGTCCCAAGTTTAGAAACGTGGATGGTTCTTAGAGTTTTTTCTCCGAAGAACTGGAAAATGAAATAGATTTGGAAAATATTAGTAATATTTCAATAAAAAAACGAATATAGACAAATCACATTCAGTAAAGGTTTACAGTTGAAAATAAATTTCAGAATAAGTTATCCTGGCACTAAAAGTGTAATATAAACCTTAAAAAAATATACCAAGCCAGGTGAATTTTAAGAGGAAGATCGAAATGACAAAAAATTGGCAATATCACATAGGCTGAATTTAATCATTTAGCTTTTCATAATAAAATTCACCTGGCTCGGTATATTTTTCTTTAGTTTATGTTACACTTTTAGCGCCAAGACAACATATTCTGAAATTTATTTTCACCTGTAAACCTTTACTGAATGTGATTTGTCTATATTTGTTTTTTCATTGAAATATTACTAATATTTTCGAAGTCTTTTTCATATTCCAGTTCTTCGGAGAAAAAATTCTAAGAACCATCCACTTTTCTAAACTTGGGACATGATATTTAATCTTTTTCAAAGAAAAAATTTGTTTGTATCATCTGTCCTTAATCCTCACTTTTCATTTGCCATAATTTAATTTCTCCCGTATCACACTTGTTCATTATATTTTAAAAAAAAACAGCATATGTTTCACACAACCCAGCGTCAGCGCTTCATAATAAATAATCCAGTGTGAAGCGTTGTAGATCATATACCTCATGAGTCTTCAAAAATTTAATTAATTTCTTACATTTACATTATTTTTCTGTTGACTTCTCATAATCATACGCCTCACAAACGGTGTGCACTATATTTTTTGACATCAAGTGCGATATTATGACGTAACAATGAAGATATTCCTGCTTATTCGTGGTACATATGTAATGAAGTTCATGAGAAAATAAACTGCATTTTATTTTGCAAAGAATCATAAAATTATCGGAAAATTACTAGAAATGTAAATATTGATAAATAAAATACCTCTTCTTCGATAACATCAATTTCTTTTCTGGAATATTCAGCCATTTTACTGCAACACTCAGGCCAGATGAGCACAATTTGTTTGAAATTTGAATAACGGAAGGCGGATTTTTCATATGCATCATGCACAGCTATGAATCGATGAAGAATAGTATGTTCTTTACCCTTCAAGGTCACTCTGCTGCCCGTTTCTATGTTTTCATATACAACCTATTTCAAATCAAAAGTTGAATCGTAAATTTGAGTGAAAAAGCATAAAGTAGAGCGGGATTATATTAAGGTTATTCAAATTTATGCGTCCATAGTTTTTCATACTTTTTCTATTACATGTATGTTTTTAATATAAACTGAAAGAAAATAATTCATGTTTAGCCTACTTAACTGAATAAGTAATAAATGTGTGGGTTTTTAATTGGTTATTTAATGCAATTTTTAGAAACGTGTTAAACACAATCATCTACTCGTAAGGCAAAATAACCTAAAGGATTCAATACATGTATGCATGGTTTAACAGTCATTAAATAAACAACAGGTACATAATGATTTCTTTTGCTAAAGATATCTATTTGGAAACAAATATTTACCCGAAACTCATCCTTTGATTGAACAGGATATACCATAAAAACGAAGTCATTGATATAGTCCCCAATACATGTCTCTGGTAGGTCACATGTTAAAAAATTTCTAACCAAGGGGTATTCCTCAAGGATACGTGCACAGTTGTCAATGATACCTATGTCATAATGATAAAAGATTCAAACATTTAAAAGAAATTAAGATTTCATTCATCAGTATCATTAGTATAAATAAGGAAAATAATACGAATCTTACCAACAGATTTCATGGTGGAGGACATTCTTAGAACTTTATTGATTATCTCGAACAACAACCATGAGAAAGGTAGTTTGGCTTGAAATTTCTTTCCTCTGTACCCAAGTCTTTTCACTGATACTTCAGGCTTATTATTTTCAAAAGGTGTCTCTTTAAAAGCCTTCTTTAGGGATCTGTAGGAAATTCCAACTGCCTTTTGCTCCAAAAGAATTTGAAGAAAAAGTTTTACTTTCCATGAGGATTTTTCTTGATGTTTCAATATAGAGAGATTGTTGTTTACATCGATGTGCGATATAATGCCTGCTAAAATTGGTATTATCTGGTCTTCGATGCATTGTATCAACGATTTTCTGAAAAAAAAAAACATACATACATGTACAAATATAATCAATATATGACAAAATATATCTTTGGTATGCTTATAATGCAGGTTATTACAATTTTTTGTAAAATTTTAAAAGTTGAAGAAAGTGTAACTGAACTATGCTCATTTCTTCTTTAATGTTATTTTAAATGCTAGATTCTTTTTTTTTATTCAACTTAATTTTTATTGAGCAGAACATATTTACATTTTTAATTATTTATCTGTGAAAAGTTTTAAAAGTTATTTTAGTTACTTTTCTTAATTACATGTGCAGCTAAATATAAATTTCGCCAAGTTTACGGTCAAGAAACTTATTTGCATGTAGATCTCATGCAACTTCTTTGTGGCTGATGTCAAAGAGCGGGGACTAGTGGATTCAACATGAGATTTTCATGTAATGTTTTACCTGTTGAACAAAGGCTTTATTTATATTTTTAATTGCATTTCCTGTTAAAATGAAAAATATAAGGAATCGCTGTATCGTTGGGTATGCAGGGGACATCAATGACAGTTGCATACTTGGGCTCATTTATCCATATGATAATAGCTTTTTGGCCTGCCATATCCAACAAACTAGACAGTGATTCATTAAAAATGATATTTATTTTACCTGAATGTTCCAACCCGATAAATATATTGCCGGCTAGATGCTTCAGAAGTAATCCACGACCTAATTTCATCTTCTGACATACTTTCCTCTTTTTCTTTCAATAAAGTTTTAAGAATTTTACAAATTCCAAAAAAGAATTCATCTGAAATTATATACATTGAACTGAGTCAACAGGATTATTCATCTTCAACCATGCGTTAAACAAACTTTTATCTAGAAGAATAACAGTACCATTTAGGAGATGAGAATGAACGATGTTTAATCGTTCTTTATGTCTGTTTTCGCCACCAGCTTGGTCTTTTTTGTCATCATCTTGGTCTCTAACCAGAGTAAGCGAAACTTGAAGACTTGACTTCAATAGCTCAATAAACTTCAGTTTCTTTTGAACGTCTGGTTTCCTTTCATCACAAACCTTTTCATGTTCAGAAAAAATTGAGTCCTCAGAGTTTGCGTCTGTGTATTCCTGGACACTCCGCGCATTATCTGGAAATAGGCTTTCTGTTGCATCATGCATTAAATCCTGTTCTCGTTGCATGCGGATTTCATTTTTCTCTCCTTTCATTGTTTCATCTGTTACGTTTTCCAACAAATCAGATATACTCATCTTAACCATATCTGTTATATGTGGAATATCCTCACCCCAAGGACGTAGCTCATCAATATGCACACTCTCCCAAATGCCACACTATAATAATTAATTCATAAACATAACAAACAAACAAAAAGAGTTAATTTATCAAAAATTTCCCCGGATGATCCATATGTCATAATGCGATAGAGTGCATAATTGATTTCCAATAATCATGCTACCTCCCAGTTTCCTCTATAAAGTAAATACCCAAATATTTCTGCATAGTGTACATAGGATTTATATAGCGTAAATGAACTATGCAGATTTAATGCACAGTTTCGTATTCTAAGAAAACGTCCACAGCATTCACGCTGGGGATTGAACTTAAAATCCAAAGTTTTTTTCGGCGTGTCACCATTTTAGCCAAGGAGGCCATTAGCTATGACATTTTATTTCAGAAACTATTAACTTAATATGTATATTTGAAAATTTCAAAATGGAACAGAGCAAACACGGACTCCCAAAATATTAGAGGAGCATGGGAACTGGTTCTATGGAGGAGTGAGCATTGAGCAAGATTTTAGCAATCAGAATTCCTAAAACAGCTGCTGTCAAAGATTTCATATACCCTGGACTTTAATTATCGTGAAGAATTAGTTGTAAATGAAGTTAGAAAGTCGCAAGTCAATATATGTTGTTGATTTTTGTGAATTTTTTGATTCTGAATTTTCCTAAGTTCCTTTGAAACTTTAAGACTTTTTTCGCAAAAAAATAATATCTGCTTTTTGTTGGCATATTTCATAGAAAACTGAATCTTATAAATCAGTCTGAGAGGAAATTTTAGCAATACTAGAATACATTCTTCAATTGAAGTACAATTACCTGAAATCCACTGAAAGGATATTTTGTTTTTCTTGGAAGATGAATAATCAGAATTACGTATCTCCTTGACGATATATCATTTTTCATTTGTTCAATTACGTCTTGTACGCAATGCCTGGCACACGCTATCAAACTCTCATCATCAGAGCCAAAGTCACATTGAATTATCACCATGAAATTTTTTTCCAATGAAAATCTAATAACAAAATTTTAATAAATAAATCTTCAGCATCAGGTCAGTCATTCAACTATCTAAATATCTATTCATAATGCAATATATCAACACACCTAGATGATAGCGTCGATATTTAACCTTATTAACTGGGTAAATTTGGAAATAACTAAAAGCTCATCAACTTTAAATATGTATGTCAAATAAAATATTATATAATACATGTACATTGACATATTATGCATCTAATCTCATTACATTAAATGGGTGAACTTTTAAAACTTTTGCGTTTTTTTAATCTCTGCACTAATTAAGTAGCACTTTTAAATAAAATTTTATATCTTAATAAAGCATAACCTGAATCTTTTTTCTGTAATTTTCAAATGAAACAATGTTATCAATGATAACATTGAAGCCAACGTTTTTCTTCAATCAAGGCTTTGTATTATGACTTTGTAAGATATCAATTTATAGTTCGGTCAATTTTTTACTGAGACTTTAAGTACAAATCGTTACATATATATTAAATTAAATTCATATGGAATTGTAAATAGAAGGTGTGACAAATCAACGCAGAAGTCGTTTTTATCCTTAATTTGACTCATAATGCTTCCAAGTGTCGGTGTTTTTCCTGTTAATTTAATCTGTGATATTGTAGTACAGTTTTGAACAATCTAAATACATGTATACGTTTGCAATGCAGTTTGCAGTATTTATTTGAGTGATTTTTTTCTCTCAATCCTTTTTAACCTGTTTTGTTGCTATTTGTTTACTTTTCACAAGAAATTCTTACTTAATTTCACTGCAGAATTGCTGTTCCGTGTCAAAAGCTTTCAGTGAAAGCATTGCAATGTTTGCGTCTGATAAGTCCTGACTACTTGCTGGTTGGTCTGCATCAGATGAATTCTATAAATATATAGGGTATACATGTATAAGTACTATTCAAAGTCTGCTTTGATTTATAAAAGAAAATAGGGTCGATCAGTAGAAAATGATGCCAATCTTAATGTAGCCCTCCCTTGAAGCAATATCGTTCTACGATTTTATATCTGATAATTCATTTAAAACAAATTCTTTAAAATGACTAAAACTGAAATAAAGCAATGTTGCATTCATTTGAAAGCTGATTTTATTTCCATAAAAGAGATGCTACATGACTGACTGTCATCAAAATATAGAAACATTTTAAAGCCTTTTAAAAACTATTACTGCATGTAAGATAGATATACACAGCATTGTTAATGCTTCATAAATGGACAGTGTCCAATACTGTGCGGAATTAAATTGTCGACTTGACATCATTTTGGTAAAATGGATGTCCTTGATATGTTGTGAGAGGTACATGTAGATCAAGAAATCTTTTGAAGTGAAATATGCATTTTATAATAAAACAGTGCGAATAACCAGGGATGGTTGGTCTCTCCTTGATAACATGTATTTTACAACAGTTCGTTTTTATAGTTCATAAGATATGAAAATGTTCTTCAAACTAATGACTTTAGGCCATTTTTAGCAGCCCCATCCCCTCGTGTTTCGCTTGTCACATTTTATTCATCTCTCTCTACTCTTTGAGCTTAAATTTTCATTGATCATGTTTCAAGCATTCGAGTCTTTAGTTAAAAAGGTACTGATAACATAACAATAAGAAAAAAATGCAAAAACGATTCAAATGAAGACCCATATACATATGTATTAAATAAACAATGTTACCAACTTTGTTTTCTCATTTTTTGTCGAACAAGACCAAATAACTTTTCCAAAAGAAAAAAATAAATATCCAAAGTAAAGCAAGCAAAGCTTTGATGTTCAAAATTACAAAATCAATATGATTCGATTGAAATTCTATGTCTCATTCTATTTATTATTAGAAAACATCATACAGAGTTCTGATGACTCAAAATAGCTTTTTTTAATTTTAGTATATAATTAGTTATTATTTAACTGATTGACATCGAATTTGAGATACATATATTATATAACTTACTTTACAGTCAGTTGAATATCTTAAACCAGCCAATAAATCATTCAGATCTCCAATGGAAAGCAGCTTAGAATGAGTTGTAATCTACACAAAGAAAAATAATTTATATACAGTAGTAGGTGACGCCCAACAGAAAATAGATAATTACAATTACATAACTCAAGGGTTTTGATTACCTGTTTGAACTTAGTCAAATTTTCTTTTTGCTGCAAGTAATGTTTTAAATACTCCACAAGACTGTTGTGTTTTTGTTTGTGAAAATAAATATCTTTCATTTCGGTTCCTGTGTCTGTGCCTATTGCCTGGCGTAGAACGGCATCCGGTGTTGCAACCAACAAAAATACTTCTTGACCACAACGAAATATCTATAAGGACAAATACATGATAAAATAATGAAGGAAATTCCCCCATATAGTAGTAAAACCACTAAAAGTAATTCACCTCTTCGTCGTTTTCACCGAGTTCCTTGTCATCGGACATTTTTTGGCATAAGTGTAGGATAATTGATGCACATGAGTCTTGGTGGTAGCCGATGAAAACTTCTCCAACTTGCATTTTTTGTTGACTGGGATAGAGGAATAAAAAGTTCTCATTATCAATATACAAATTAAAGATATAATTTTCAACATGATTATGCTTTACAAATTTAAAATATACGTGTACTTTTATGATTTTGCTGATCTTTTTTGTTTTGAAAAAAGATGGTTGATATCCTTCAACCATATTCACACAATATGTGCGGGTTAGCCTGCTCTCTAAAAGTTTGATGTTTATTTAATTTGTTTAATTAGATCGTGACAATCCAATCAATGTGTAGTTATTCGTCAGAAGAACATTTTGTATGATTTTCCCTTCTAAAACTATCTGGGTTTTTTATTCAAAACTTTCGTTAATTCTATTGTCATTATAATCACTATGTTTGAATAAATGTTTAAAAACTGCTTATTTGGCAGTATGTTTGCTACGTACCAATTATTTTATACAAACTGTCAGTGCGTAATGTTTTACCTGATAAATAAACACATTTATTTATATACTATCTCCATTTAAATCTGAAAGAAAAACTTTGGACAGTACCTTCTTAGTTTCCTTAGCAATGACTATTATATTTTACTATGACAAAAAAGTACAGATTGGTATTACCATTAAAAATCATTCCATGTTTCCTTGGGAAATTTTGAACTTTACTTGAGTTTCATTTTATAACTAAAAAATCAAAGCTTCTATGCAGCAATTTTTATTTAATCTATCTCATTAAGGTTTTTAAATTATGTTAATTAATTTACCTGAATATATCATAAAATTAATACAGAGGTGCCTATTTCTTGATATAAAAATTACATGCATATTTTGGATAATGTTTACATGAAGATTCTTGCTTGATAGATATTTTGAATTTCTCAGAGAGTTGATAAAACTACATTTATTATTATTTATTATATTTTTGATTGCAAAGCCACATTTTGATTTTTTTAAATGAATATTTGTATATTAAATTATTAGTCTACAAAATTCTAAATTGCTTTATCTGAATAAAATTAATATATTCTTATTTATTTACTTTTTGGTTGAAAAGGTATCATTAGAGTTTTTAATGCTTTGCTATTTTTTTCGATTATTACATAGTATTTGAAAATTTTATTCTCAGGGATAGTTTTAGTGAAAACTTAAATAGCTTATTTCCCTTAATTTTGAATAACATATTGTATCTACCCTCTGTAAAGCACCTTATAGAACCTATAATGAATCCATTAATTTTGTTTTACGTGCATCTTATAAAATATTTTAAATATAATTTTGTTTATCCGGTTAGTATTTTTTTTATAATTGAGAAAATTGTATGAAAAAGAATTTTATATATAAAATTGTCAGTTAATGGTAAAATTTTAAACATAATTTTATTAGACAAAAAGACAAATAACGAAGCCAAAATTCTAAAAACAAAATAAATTCCCACTATTCTTTACATAAACGTTATCTCATACTCTAATGTTGTTTTTCAAATTTCCGTTCAAATTTTTATTTGCCTGTTTTTTGGAGGGTGATCTTTAAATATAGGGTGAAAAAGGATATTTTCAGAATGTAAGAATTAAGTCATCTTTGAGCCATCAATGGAAGAATTCGTATTTTGCCATGTAGATTTTTTTTATTGTGTTATATCCTGTTTTCTTTGTTCTATTTCATATTAAGTATAAATTATCTCAAAACTATAAAGATGATAATACCACATAAAATCACGTACCTCTGTGCTTGAGATGAGAGTAAATCGGGAAAGAAATTTATGATAGCCCGTTTCCATGGCAACCAAGACGGTAATTTTTATATAAAAATGTTGATTATGTCATATTGTTTAGGTATTAAACACCTGAAAAGGGTCCATGAAAATCATTCATGGTACGTGTATATGCCACATTCATACAATAATATTTTGTTTCTTACAAAGAATTTGTTAATTACCTTTCAAATCCTGATGATTTTGGCTGTGTAGCCTGTTCTACAAATTCATATATCCAATTCTCTAATCGTTTCGATAACCGCAGTTGTCGAGAGGACAAAACACTTGTTATTGTAAGAAAATGTTTCTCCAAGCGGTTGATCAAGGGTATTGGAAACTTCATCAGCACAGTGTTTATTTCAGCAATAACCACGAGTCTAAAAGAGTAAAGAGCCACATATTCAATGATGATTGTATGCATCCCTATCTGATTAAGAACCTTTGTCTTTTATAATAGTAAAGAAAATAAAAAAGTGCGAACTAAATTATCTTCAGTTCCATTGCGTTACTGCATGAATTGAATAAAAGAGTATGATTTAATAATTATTTTCAATACATGTGCTAATAGCCCTTTTAATCATTTTTAAGCAAGAAGCTCAAATTGAGATAAACAGATACATAAGATTCGTTAAACTTGTAATTCATTTGATTGCTTATAATTTTTGAAAGTCGATTGTTATCTTTTGATTGATGATTCATATACAAAATATCATAGTCACCTGAAATTTTTATGAACTCTGCATTTCACTCTGTGAGATCCTAAGCCTAAGTCAACATAATTCTGGTCCCCAAATTTAACAAATGACTAAAGTAAAAAATTAAAAGGAATTATATTTATACTTCATTTTGCACGAACTTTATCCAAAATTTTATAGGATCCTTCAGAGTACAAAATTGTGCCAATAAGGAGTTAATGAGCTACGATTACAATAAAATAACTATTAATGTTGATGTAATAATACGATGCATTGGTATTCAGCGGAAACAAAAAGCTTACATTTCTCAATAAACTTTAAAACGAATTTAAACAATTTAATCAACACACCAAAACTTTTTGATAACATTTTTAAAGCTCTAAACTTCCTACATCTACACATTTTAAGGAAGCTTAAAAAGCCTCGAGCTATGTATTTGATGCGTTCAAATTTGTATGTTGTCTTACAATTATATTTGAACTTTGTTGCATTTTTATCTCAGAGGAAAAATCACTGTAGGGTTTTTTAACAATGTTATTTCAATATTGTATCTTTCGAATTCTAAACTTCACTTATCTTATATAATGGGTTGTCTTAATGCTTCATTCTGTCAGATTAATCAATTTTGAAAAATAAATTATCTTAATAAGTCAAAAGTGCTTTGACGAGATCGACTGTGTTTTGAATTACTTGATTATAATTATTTCAAAAAATCTTCAAATCTACTTGTAAATCAAACAAACAATGTCACACATTCCTCAAGTTGGTCTACAATTAAACATGTCTTCATATACCAAGTTTTGTAAGCATAAGGAGAGCTGGAATCTGGATACTGTCAATGCGACTCAAATATAGGTTTGTAAATCGTGAAGCGACTTGTCGTATCTTAGATTCTTTTAACTTAAAAACTTGATAAACGTTTGTTATATTAATTTGTCTAATGTTTTCAATTTAAATATTTTCAACCAACATATTTTATTATCTACTGCTACTTTTTCACCCCAAAGCTGATACTTATAACATCACCAATACGTATTCCTCTATTCTATTTGCACTGATTCGTTCTTTGAAGGATCACTAAGTGTGAATTATATTAGGCATAGACCATAACATTAGTATAAAGTAAGCAATTCATTGTGAACAATTCAATTTTTTCTCGCTTTTCTGATAACTTCTTACATTATTTTTTTTTTTATAAATTTCAACTAGTGGAAAACCATTGTCTAGAGTCTGTTTATTGTCAAACCTGGTTGAGAGCGTCGTACAAACTTTCATACAAGTTTTCAAGATTCAAGAGGACAACAAGTTCCCCCGTCTCCATGCAAACCTTGATTCTATTTATGTTTCGACAGACCTAAAATAAACAGACAATTTAGAATTAAAATATTGAATCTCTATTTTATTACTTCATAAAAAAAATTTGGATATGCTGATTGCTAAATTTTGTAAATAAGGTACCTACTTTCGTATGGTCGTCTGGGAATTAATTGCATGCAAAATTAAATTTACACATAAGAAAAATGAACTTATCACAGTAAGGTAATGTCTTGGCATTTTTTGAAGTTCAGAATCATTTTTCCTGCGTTCCTTATCTTTAAAATATGAAATGAATTACATTATGTGTTACTTTTTTTTACTCTCTATACCTTATGAACATCTTCCGTATATAATATGTATATTCAGCTATTTATCTAATAAAACAAAAATTATATCCAAAAATACAATTGAAAGGACAGCGGGGTGTGCAGTAACATTTGAAAGAGCATAATCCTGAGATTAACATTTAAATTTCAGACCATCGGGTAATCAAACAGACGTAGGCCAAGGCTTATAGTTGGTTTTATGTCAATCGAAAATATTTACATTTGCAAATGTTTTCCTTTATATAACACTACTGAAAGCAAGCGTTTTTGATAACTGTATAAATACAGGTACAGGGTCAAGAGGTCATATATGTGCGTATGGATAAACGTTCAACGTAATTTCTCAGTGACGTCATAAAGGGTCGACGCGCGTTCAGTGGATTACATACATGCCGTTGGGTTTGAAAAATAATGCATTTCACACTTTAAAAGTCACAATCAGGCAAATTTAAAGTATGAATAAGTTAAAAATGTTAATATAAGTAATAAGGTATCATTTTTTGAGTTTCATTGGGACGGGTTGGCACATGATCAAATCTTCAATAAAGCCCGAAGGGCTTTATGGGATTTGATCACCTGACCAACCCGTTTTACATCCCAATAAAACTCAAAAAATGATACCTTATTTCTTAACTGTTTTCATACAAGACATCATTTGTGCTTTTCTTGAGAAACTCTAAGTCAATTCTTTCCTTGTCAAGATCAATTATCGCACGTTTTTATGAAAGCTATCTCGACGTGACGAGATAATTTTTCTTGCATTGTAACTGACATTTTTGCATTGTTAACTTTTAAAGTTATCTTATTCAAGAAAAGAATTTTGCAAAGAAAGCTATAGATAAAATTTCTCAAAGTATTTAAAGACGATGTTGTAGTTATTTTCCTAAATGTGTAGCAAATTAAAAGAAGAAATGATCTAATTATCTGATTATGTATTGGACTCCTAACAAATTCTATTACCGAGAATGCGTTCGACTACTGGAATGGGGCATTTTCAATTTTTCATACATAATGAACTTGCAATAAGATATAAATTCAACAGAGAAAGAGAGAGAGAGAGAGAAAAAAAAGAGTAATATTATCTAGAGGGAAATGAGTACATATCATATTTTATATATATGCACATTTATACTGTTTTCATTGATATTATGACCCATTACAAATGACATAATGGTTTTATTTAGTTGCTAGGAGATGTCTTGGGAAATAAAGTATTGTTTTAAATAATGTATTTTTGACTTATTTTACTCATTTTGATTCATTTTTTTTTTGGTCTGTTATTTAGTGGCCAGGATTTGATTTGATCACAAAAAAGTCAAATAGTTTACATGAACTCGACAAAAAGTTGTTATTTATTTGTCTTCTTTTATGCGATCATTTTATTGAAAATTCACAATTCAATTCAAGAACATTTATCTCGTCTAAATATCAATCGTAATAAAGTGTGATATCTTATCTTGAAAAGAATGGAAATTTGTAAGCGGTTTTTGCCGACAAAACCAAAAGTTATCTCGAATTGACACGACATCAAGCATTTCTAATGACAAAAGTTATCTGAAAGGTATAAACATACCACCACAAAGCCTTCGTATAACACAACAAGAAAACAAGAAAATGCTCTACATATATATTATTTAGATTGTATATAGCTTTTTCATATATTACATGTAACAAAGGAAAAATTCACCAAAGACATTACTAAATAATTGAACATCAATTGCATACAGTGTAAATAACGGATGTTTACACATGTAATGGTGCGTAGAATCATTCTCAGATTCATACAAGAAATATAGCATAAAAAACCTGTGTGTACTCCTGGTCGCAGGGAAAACTGCTTCCAAATATAGTCACAACAGTTTGTTTTTCATCGTGCATTTGGTGTCTTTTAGTTGTGGCACTCAGTTTGTGTTGCAGTACAGAGAAAGATTCGTAGTTCTTTGTCAGTAGCAACAGATATCTAGATCCACTGTAAAATTTAAAAGTACCTAGTTCACTTTCTTAAGCAGTATCCTGAGTATAAATGTAAATGGATTGAAAAGTTTTATCTGTGCTGACTCAAAAATTTCACATCAAGCATATTTCTAAAGCAAATAATTATCAAGATAGGTAGGACTGATTTCAGTGAAAATTTCCGATGTACATAAATAAATAAAATTTAAATTGATTTTTTAAAAATATTTAATGTTGGTGAACAAATTGAAATCATAGTTGTCAGGAATGTAATCATGTCATGTAAATTTCCTTTTTGATTCAATTCAAAAATACGTACTCCTCACGTCCTGTTAAACTTGCTTCAATTAGTCCTGTTGGTGTGCATTCAGGATCGCCTGCTGTTTTCTGACATAAGCCAAGGAAAAATCCAATATTAAAGACTAAATATAAAAATCATAGTGACTTTCATAATTATGTACAAAATTACCTTTAAACTGTATGTTGGAACAGAACTAAAATCTTTAAAAACAGGTAGTTTTCATAAGCTTAATCATACTATAACGTAGGACTGAAGTGGAACAAACGTATTATGAATTTCAATAAAGGCCTACATTCAGTACATGTAATAACCAATATTTGCCACAAAAAATTAAACTTTGGCTGAGAAATATATAATTACGCTATAAAACTGCTGGATATTTGAACACTTCATAGCATTGATTATTTTTACAGTATAAGCAATTACATCATATATCAGATATGACGTCAGATACATGTAATGACTCATGTTAAAAGTGTCCATAAGTTATTCAGAAAAATGTTTATATTACGTCGATATTTTGAGTAATAGTCATCTAGAACAGATCTCAATATGTTGATGTAATGTGTAGAGTATTGATATCAAAGAAATAATTGTCTTAATGTTGATCTATAGCAGGCCTGCATTTTGTTAATGTAATAGCTAAAATTAAACAAATTTTCCTTTTTTCCCTTTCCCTTAAAATACTGATAATTCTTAATAGTTTGTGACTATATGTAAACAGAATTTGAAATTACGCTACTCTGAAAATAATAATTATGATTATTTTATGTTACACCGAAACTTTCTGTTTTTAAATAAAAACGCCCAAAGTTTCCAACAAAGTTTATTTTGTATTCCCGTGTAACACTTTACACACAGGACCCGACTGAGTAACTAATTGAACACACAAATTCTACGCTAAATATTAAGAACTGCCCAACCTACAGACAGCCAATCACTGCTAAATTAACCCGTTAATTGTGAACACTATGAATTCTGCATTTTCTCATGGCCAGCACTTCGGACATTCAATCCCCCTGAGACTCGGGTGATAAAAGTCAGCAATGCTGATACAAGAGCTAAATTTCCCAGCCAAATCTTAATGAGCGGTCAAGACCTTATCACATAAACAGATCACTGCAGTCTGTAGCTTAGAGCAATTACTACAAATCAACAAGATTAAGATAATATAAATCAAGAATTAATTATATAAACAATTTCACACAAAATTTCACTTTAACACCTCCCTTCCAAAGTTAAAAATTTAACTGTCAATAGTTGAATTTTTTCAAGTTCATAATTCTGTATATAGCAACATTAAATTTAACCAGTCACTAAATTCACTTTAGCCAGTCCAAATAAGTATTAAACAGTTAATAGCAATTAATCATCAAAAGAATAATATATAAATCCAAAATGAATTTCACTGTAAATCCAAACTGAATGCACTTGAATTTTATGAATATAAAATTTTCAAAAAAATTCCCATAATTCACAAACACATTTCACTTTTCAAATTCTTGATAATCCGTCTGCATTTGTGTTTTAGCTTCCTCTCTTATATCTAACTTCAAAGGTGTACGATTGTAGTGCGAGGGCCCAACGTAAAAATCTCTGATTTTTATTCTTCAAGCGATGCAACCATGTCAGTGGATTGTAATCTGTTTCTACGTAAAACTTCCTCCCTTCTAGGTAATACGAAAACGATCCAATGGCCCAAACGATAGCTAATGATTCCTTCTCTATCGTTGAATAGTTCTTTTCCCTTGGAAGTAACTTCTTACTAAGGTAAGCAACTGGGTGATCACCATCTGGCAACTGTTGGCTCAGGACAGCCCCAATTGCTTTATTACTCGCATCTGTTTGTAGTACAAACGGTAAATTGAAGTTCGGATTGACCAAAACAGGAGCTGTCATCAGGGCCTCCTTCAGTTTCTTGAATGACTGCACTTCCCTCTCCGTCCATTTTAATTATGCGGGTTGACTTTTTCTCAGTAGATCAGTCAGTGGTACAGTTATGTACGCATAATTTCCTATATACTGGCGATAGTATCCAGTTAGCCCCAAGAATGATCTTAATTCTTTCTTTGTCAAGGGAAGCGGAAAATCCTCCATGGCTTTCAATTTCCGAGGGTCTGGTCGAATTGATCCCCCTCCAACTATATGTCCCAAACAAATGATTTCTGTTGCTCCCAACTTACATTTTGATGGTCTGATGGTAAGATTGGCCTTATGAATACGCTGAAGTAGCTCTGTTACATGTTTGATATGGTCTTCCCACGTCTGACTGTAGACAATTATGTCATCAAAGTATGCAACAGTATTTTGAGTTCCATCTAAAATACGATCCATAAGTCTTATGAATGATGCTGGAGACGTCTTCATACCAAACGGCATCACTGTAAACTCGAAAAGGCCAAATGGGGTGATGAAGGCGGATTTCTCACGTGTTTCCTTTGCCAGAGGAACTTGCCAGTAGCCTTTTTGTAAGATCAAATCTACTCAAATATTTTGCACTTCCAATTTTCTCAAATATTTCACTCATGCGTGGAATGGGATAAGGATCCGTGAGAGTTATTTCATTCAATTTTCTATAATCAACACATATTCTAATTGTCCCATCAGGCTTGTTGACAAGGACAATTGGTGAGGCCCACGGACTTTTGGATGGTGTAATAAGTCCTTGTTCTAACATTTCATTCAAAGACTCCACTTCCTGTTTCTTAGCTTCCGGTATCCTGTAAGGTCTCTGAGTAATTGGATTCTCAGACGTTGTTCTGATTGTATGTGAGATAACATCACACTTTCCCGGCTTTGATGTGAAAATTCTTGAAAATTTCTGACAAACATCCCTTAAACTCTGTCTCTGCACTTGTGTCAGCCCATGTCCAAAGACAAGATCTGAAATGGTTTCTGTGGTGTCGTTAGGAAATTGCTGTTCAATTCCAATTTCATTTTATGTTGCTGCCAGTAATGTAGCCCGGTTATAACGACGAAGTAAATTGATATGGTAAGTAACAAGTCCACGTCGTCCTCCAACATTGATTTTATAGTTAACATCACTTATCTTGTTAACCACACGAAACGGTCCTTTCCACTGAGCGGACATCTTGTCAGGTTCGGTAGGGAGTAAAAGGAGTACTTCATCACCAGGACGCAAAGTCCTTTTGGATGCTGAGCGATCATACCAATCTTTGATTTTCGACTGCCTCATTTCCAAGTTGTTTTGCACGAGTTGTGTCACATCAGCCAGTTTGTTTCGGATATTGACGACATGATCTATCTCTGATATTTTTATTTCCTCCTCACCAGTCATGAAGCTCTTTAAAACACTAAGAGGACCACGTACTGGCCATCCATACAACAGGTCAAATGGTGAAAAACCAGTCTCCTCATGTGGGACTTCTCTGTATGCGAAAAGTACATATGGAAGTAGTACATCCCAATCTTCGCCATTCTCCATACACAACTTTTTCAACATTGATTTTAACGTTCCATTAAATCTTTCAACTTTGCCATTTGCCTGCGGGTGATAAGGTGTTGTAGCTATCCCCTTGATTTTGATTTTCTCATATAAATCTTTCAGGAGCGCACTCGTGAAATTTGATCCTTGGTCAGTGAGAATGGTTTTAGGAATTCCAACTCGACTAAATAATGTAATGAGAGTGTCGGCTATTCGTTCAGCTTCACAACTTGGTAAAGCGAAAGCTTCTGGGTATCTCGTAGCTTCATCAATGACAGTCAGAATGTATTTATTACCTTGAGTTGTCCTATTGAGTGGGCCGACGATGTCCATTGCTATCTTTGAAAACGGATCAGATATGATAGGTGTGTTGACCATAGGTGCTCTTTCCGCACTTCTTTTTGCCACTTTTTGAGAGGTGTCACATTCTGCGCAGTAGTCCGACACATCTTGGAACAATCCAGGCCAATAAAATGACGCAATAATACGTTGTTTGGTCTTCTCAGTTCCTAAATGTCCAGCTATTGGCTGATCATGTGCCAGCTTCATCACTGCTTTTCTTAGCGATGCTGGAAGTACCACTTGTGTTCCCGACAGATTCTTTTTCTTGGAAGTCCATTTTCGTTTCAATATGTCATTCTCCCAGTAAAACGCTTTATGTTCTGTCTCAGTTTGTGATACATTTTTGAATGCTTTATCCCTACAATTTTTGAGTGTTGGGTCTTGTTTCTGAAGATTCGATAGTTTACTTCCATTCACCACGCTCAACTTTTCCAATGAAATTTCCGGTAAATCAAGGTTCACTTCACCAGCATCATCGTTAGTTACCACGACGTTTAAGTCCCTTGGTACGACATCACATTTATTCATGCGATTTTTCGCACTTAATACATTTTGTTCTTGTTCTTTTGCTTTGGCTCTTGTAACCACAGCTGCAACTTTGTACCTCTCCAGAACATCTATTCCCAATAAACCATCTGCAACCAGATCAGGTACTAAACCTACCTGAACATGTCCCTTAAACATTGGAGTTTCCAGGTTAACCACTGCTAACTTAGCCTCGAATGGCTGTCCAATAGCTGTAACCAAGGAAGTAGTTTGTCCATGTAGAACACATTTTGGATCAACAAGATCCTCCCGCAATAGCATCATAGATGCTCCAGTGTCCTTGACCACTGACACTTCCACATCATCCACTTTCCCCGGAACATAATGTAAACCCCATAATGCTCCTTTCACGAAACACGACGCTAGATTACCTTTCTTTGGGCATTTGTTTGCATAATGTCCAAAGTTCCCACAGCTAAAACATTTCACTTTTTCCAAACTTTTCTGTTTTCCGGAGTTCCCCTGCTCCTGGCTCTTCTTCTCACCTAACACTTTAGGATTTTGAAGTTTTCTGTCCTCGGCCGATTTTGTTGGTAGAATGTAATCTTCAGCAGCTTCAACTAACTCACTACTTCCCTTATTCCATCTAATCCACTGGGCTTGATGAGGAGATAACGCCTTTAAGAAATACTCTTCTCAAAACTTTTGTACGGGATCTCTCTCATCAATGAAACGACTCAAGTACAGATCTATCCTCGACATTAATCCTCTGTAAGTTTCTCCTGGTCTACGTTTAATTTCCTCCAGGAACTGAAAGTAGTCTGCTGGGCGCTTGCCGAATCGATTCAAAAGAGCCTTATACAGGCCTCTGTATCCCGAAGTCACTTGCTGCGACACTTCTCGAGCTTCTCCGGTTAAAAGTGACCTAAGCTGTAAAGCTTTTGAGTTCTCAGTCCAACCTGCATGCTCAGCTACCACATCAAATTCAGAGAGATAGCACAAAATGTCATCCTTTTCCTGATTAAATGGTTGAAGTTTAATTTTTGGCATTCCTGTCGAATGTGCTCCTGGTGTTGAATTGGCCTTCTCTAGCTGATTCCAAAATTTCTTTTTCATGTTCCAATTCAAGTGTTTTTAAACGTAATTCATGTTCCTGTTTTTGTTTAGAAAGTTGTAATTCCAATTCCAAGTCCTGTTTCCTAGGCATTTTAAATCCGCTTGTTAAATCCAAATATATGTATAAAATTTCAAACAATATTTCACATTTAATTAGGATCCTTTACCGCTGCCACCACTTAAAATGTTACACCGAAACTTTCTGTTTTTAAATAAAAACGCCCAAAGTTTCCAACAAAGTTTATTTTGTATTCCCGTGTAACACTTTACACACAGGACCCGACTGAGTAACTAATTGAACACACAAATTCTACGCTAAATATTAAGAACTGCCCAACCTACAGACTGCCAATCACTGCTAAATTAACCCGTTAATTGTGAACACTATGAATTCTGCATTTTCTCATGGCCAGCACTTCGGACATTCAATCCCCCTGAGACTCGGGTGATAAAAGTCAGCAATGCTGATACAAGAGCTAAATTTCCCAGCCAAATCTTAATGAGCGGTCAAGACCTTATCACATAAACAGATCACTGCAGTCTGTAGCTTAGAGCAATTACTACAAATCAACAAGATTAAGATAATATAAATCAAGAATTAATTATACAAACAATTTCACACAAAATTTCACTTTAACATTTTAGAATTATCAAACAAAATATGCAATTCATAACATTAAAATAAATCAAAATATGACGGGGGGGGGGAAATAATGATATACAGCATATATGTGTTAAAGACATGCTTCTTATTTTTAATATGGAAGTTAACAAGAGGCTTATGGGCCACATCGCTAACCTGAGAAGCTTTGACAATTCTGTTCTTTTCCAGATTCCCCCCTTGTAATACATATTGTGACCCCACCCACCCCTTGATCATAATTTGAAATCGACACTACCCAAGGATTCTTCCACTTAAGTTTCAGCTTTTCTGGCCCAGTGGTTCTTGAGAAGAAGATTTTTCCTATATATTTCTATGTAAAACTTTGATTCCCCATTGTGGCCCCGCCCAACCCCCAGGGGTCATGATTTGTAAAATTTCAAATCTACACTACCCCAGGATGCTTCGACGTAAGTTTCAGCTTTTCTGGCCCAATGCTTCTTGAGAAGAAGATTTTTTAATGACCCAACCCTATATTTTTTTTCTTTTCTTGATTATCTCCCCGCAGTTAAAATAAGGCTGTATGAAGGCTCAAAATGCCTTTAAAATATACATTTTATTCTGAACCAGATTTTAATTTAATATGTAATCCTTCTTTGAAATTACAGACAACTTGAGATACATTGTAATAGTTTAGCTAGGTTTTATTTTAAAGCATTTATGTGATGTCACATGACTGTGTTGATCACGTGATATTCCTATTTATTGCATAAAAATCGCTACGGCACAAATGCAAAGCAAAAATAATGGGCAAAGTTTTTACATAGATCAATTTATCGTAATCTCTAGTACATAGAAAGTGCTTGGGGCAGTTTTAATTTTTACGCGTTTTTACAAGTTTGGTCAAAATTGGCCCAGTGGTTCTTCAGAAGAAGTCAAAAATGTGAAAAGTTTACAAACGGACGGACGGACAGACGGACAAAATGTGATCAGAAAAGCTCACTTGAGCTTTCAGCTCAGGTGAGCTAAAAATGAACCAAGTAGTTCTAGAAGCCAACACGTAATAACACCTGTTTTCAGCAATCAGAGTTTTTAAGGTAGGTCCGTACTTTCAGAATTTTCTGTCAAACTGTTTATTTTTTGATTTGAATAACTTGAATAAGTCATAATCTAACTAAAACACCCATAAAACATATTTTTGCAGGTTAATTTTCATGCAACGTGTCTCGGAGTACATACCTCTAAAAATTCAACATCCAAAATTCAACATAAAGAAGTGTGACATCATATTTTATTTAGTTATTTAAAAAATCACATCAAATAAATGTTGAAACTTATGAAAATCAAAAATATTCATTTTTCAAGAGAGATTTGAAATATCTATTGGAAAACAGTAAAAAATTTATGTTGATTCTGTCCACATCTTTCAGAAAAAAACCACAAAATATCTTTATTTTAAATATTTCTCAAAATCTTATAGGTTTACATGTTAATTTTTCTTTACAGTTATTTAGAATTATATCTTAGGATAGCAAAAACACATACTTTATTATGGTTGACCAGATAAATCTTACAAAACAGGCTTTTGAACACCTATACCCCTATTTTTGGAATATTTATTTTTTCAATCGTTCTTCGCAAAATTAATAAAAAAGAAAATTAAAAAGATGATATAGGCTTAAAATTAAAAATAAAATAGTTCTCAAGTTAGTTTGTTTGAAAAGAATTAAAAAGCTTTAGGTCCATAAAGGCAATTCAGAATTCTCTGTCTGTGTATGTACTAAATTACATATAGATCCTATGGACAGAGTGCAAAGTGGTTATTCCTATATATAATGAACATTAAATGCTTTGTGTGGACAATGACAATTAATAAACAAATATAAACTTGCTACATTATTTTCAATCATCCAGAAAGATTTTATTTCAATAGACAAACGATAATCAAAATTTTATATTGGTGTGTAAAATTAAAACCGGATACGTAAAAGTGTGGACCTGCCTTAAAAAAGTTAGTGTTCTTTATCATTTCGACGTTTTCGATTTTTACGATATCATCTAAAAGACATTTGACTCAATAACATGTACCTAGCCAGGCGCTTTATGAAAAAAGAGTCAAAACTATGTTTACGTCTTAGGTTTGACAAATCGAACTCCGGTCTTACGATCACAAAGCAAACGCCCTGTTACTAGACTATCGTGACCACTGATATGTCAATCAAGAGAGGGGAAACAAAATAATCTTTAAGTCTTACCCCACTCTTTGTAACATCTCTCGAAAGCTTCTTTTCAAATATCTCCCACGGCTTTATGTCTGGATCTTCTAACCCACCAAAATTTCTTAATACTGAATGCATCAGCATCATCCACGTAGGTTTCTTACGACTTTTTGTCGCAAATGTTGAAACCATTTTAATCAAACTAAGTAATACACAAGATTTATTGTTACTGTTCGGTAGAGTTAACAAGAGGCCCACGGGCCTTATAGGTCACCTGAGTATCATGTAACAACTTTCCAGCGATTGTATTTGGTTCGTGCTTTAATCCAAAAGCCATGAAATTCACAAATTTTGAAAGAGGCACAATTGCTTATCAAAGGGCAGATTTCAAAGCATTAATTTATTTTTAGTCAAAGTACCCCCGTGGTACCCCTGACCCAACGGCCCTGAAATTATCTATTTTGAAAAAGGCCCCTTTCTTCATTATAAGGCCAACATTTTTTTTTTATGTTTAGGTTTAGTTATGAACATGAAAATAAAAAAGTCCCAAAGGAGAAGGAAATCATTTTTTTTTTCGATAAATCAATTATTAACATTTGTACATTCTTGTTTATGCTATCCTTATAGGCTCCTTACCACTGGACACATAATGCTTACAAATAGGAAAGTAGAACATTTTATTGCTTATTTCATCATCTGCCAGTTTGGGCCAATTATATAAATTTTGTGATGTTGATCAAAATATATTTTAAAAAATCAATTCTTTAAAAGTCTTTTAATATATCTTCATTTTTTTAATATGTGTTAGGTGAATTTGTAGACATTGTTCTAAAATTTACTTGATCCCTAAAATTATAATTCCTATCGTAAAACAGACAGGGAGTATTGGGGAGTAGGGTGAACATTTTTTCAATTAAGTGTAAAATAATTTTTCTGGCTGATACAAATGATACTACATGCCTGTATATATTTGTATATTCTTGCCTTTTAATAGTTGAATTTTTTTTATTTCTTCAGGTTATTGTTTATTTCTTCCTCAAATGGACTTAACTTCTCCCATAGTTTTATTCATTACATCTGATGCATAAGCAACCCTTTTCTAAAGAATGATGCTTAGACTGTAAGCTATAACAGAGACCTAAACAATGTCGCTGGCAATATGCAATAGCTACCACGAGCAGTTTAAAACCTGGGGGAGGAAAATAATTTACAGTTACCTTTGAAACGAATACATACTTTAATTATTTCACCAGCATGTCATTGTGCAACTTAGTCGTCAGCATTTTATTTGTCCTTTGAACGGGTGAAACGTTTTGAATGGCACTCTTATCGATGAATTTTACACGAAACCAAGCTATCTTCTCGGATCTAGCTTTACTTACCCGCCGTTTCATCGTAAAAGCGGAAGTGCGAGTTCGTAAATTTGAAATCTCGATCCCGACTCAAATTTGACATCGGAAAGAAAAAAATTGTTTTATTTTTTTCTGAAAATTCAAAACCTTGAGCGGAGGGTTTGTAAAAATAAAAATAAAATAAATCCTTGCCTTAAATATATAATTAGATCATTAGCATATTAACCAGGAGCAGAGAAGAAGATTTTCAAAGAAATCATGCATTTCACTATATAATCAATAGAGCCCCGCCCTAACACCAGAACCCCTGACCCAGGGGCCATAAAATTCACAATTTTGGTAGAAGCACTCTTGCTCATCATAACTATGTACTTAGTTGGTTTATTTAATACCCAGGAGCAGAGAAGAAGATTTTCAAAGAAATAATGCATTTTCACTACCTACTCATTTAGCCCCACCCTAGCACCAGAACCCCTGACCCCAGGGCCATGAATTTCACAATTTTTATAGAGGACTCATTGCTTGTTACAATCATGCAAACAGTTTGACTGCTTGATGTCCAGGAGTCAAGAAGAAGATTTTTAAAGATTGCATTAATTTTAGTGGTTTTGGCCCCACCCCTCAGGCCCCAGGGGGGCAGGGATCATGAAATTCACAATTTTTGTTTCCCTTCACCCATAAATGCTTTGTGCCAAATTTGGTTGAAATTGGTTCAGTGGTTGCAGAGAAGAAGCTGAAAATGTTCAAATGTTAACGCACAACGCACGACGCACGACGACGGACGAAAACGGATAGCAATAGGTCACCTGAGTTTACTCAGGTGACCTAAAAACAGACGATATTGTTGCAAGCATAGCTCTGCATTTTCTTTACCTTGGCCATAAAATTTCGTACAGTATACTTAAAAACTTATCTGTAATTTAGTACATGTAGTTTTGAAATGACAAAATGTTGTTTAATTAACACTAGTTCCTCTTTTACAGGACTTATCATATAAATTAAGTTTTCAAATCAGCTACCTGTAAAAATCTCGAAGTCCAAAGAATTCTCTTTTCAGCAATGTTGCATTGAAGACCTCTAAATATCCTTCTGTCAAAGGTTCAATTAGAAATTCTACTAATGCAGCATTGTCCCTCCCATGTATGTCCCTGTAAATTTAGGTAATTAAACACTTATACTTTATACATATGTATATACCATCATAATATCTTGAAGCCATATGAGTGTAAAATAAACGTTAAACAATATATAATCTTTAAGCCACATGGTTTTATATAATCCTTTAGGGGAATTTTTTTTTTTTGGAAAATAACATATTGTTACAACTGGAAAGCTGTCAGTATGACAGCATACCGGGTTTCCTTGTGAAGACAGAACCTTTTTTTTCTTACATAAATACACAACCTTTCCATATGCTATGTCCCCTTTTCATAAAAAGACACGTCTTTTTTTTTTGCAGGACAGCTAAGGCTACAATTTTAGCGTAATTACGCTTAATTGGCTAGGAGGAGGAAGCATTCCCTGTTGACCAGAAATCAGTGGATTCATCAGAGATAAAAATTCCATACATATCACAGTTTATATCAAATTCAAAATTAAATAAAAGTGAAATGTGTACATATACAAAGTAAATGAAAGAATAAGAGATATTTGGAGCAAGAAAAGAAGAGAATAGTAAACACCAATATCGTTAATCAGACTAATCTAAAAAAGCAGAATCTTTTACTCCATAAACTCCTCAGTCTATTTCTACATGATCAAATATATGATTTACTTAATAAGCATTGTTGTGACTAACCTGGCTGTTTCTTTTAAATCCACCAAATCAGGCGTCTCTCTTTGTACTAAAATGCCCCGATTCATTTTAGCTGGATCAAGTGCCCAGTTTGAGAGTCCAATAAAGGCAACCTGTTGCAATTTTACATAATTTATATAAAAGCATAAGGTATAATTATATTATTTTAAATGAAAGACTAGATATATGCTTTTTTTTTATTAATTTCAAGAAATACAGGCATGATTAAGCAAATAAACAATATTTAACTACCTTTTTGTATCTTTCAGCGCTTGCATTTCCGGGACATCCACTCTCCAATAAGGGGTGAAGTATCTTTCATAATAAAATCTTAAGTAATATACCCTATAATACTCTCTCTATTAAATTATGTTTGGGTGCTATGAAAGGTTGTTTTGATAATTGTTTCAGTAATTAATATTTTCAAAATCAATATTTTCTAGGAAACAAGAAACAAAATTTATAATGAATGGTTATTGCAATTAAGGTAGACTTTACCTTTAGTGGCATTTTGGGGGAGTCCTCAGCAAGTCCTACTTCCTCTAAAATCACAACTGAAACAAATCTTTCTAAATCTCTGTCTTTTTGATAATTAGCTGCTTGTTCAAATGTGTTTAAAATGCCTTCAGCAACAGACAAATGACTGCATTGGAAAGAAACCATAGTTGCCTACAATATTTTAAACGTAACTTAGGCATTACTATATTCACAATCTTCTTTAAAAAAAGATGATTAAGTCTTTAATATTGTTTTAAATTAGCAATTTTAGCAAATTAAGCAATTTTCACACTTTTGTGTTATGCTTACTTTTTTCAGACTTTTGTAAAGTTGTGTATGTGACGACAGTCCTTGCATTGCATCTGAAATAATTGTTTTTGCCAAAGATTTGGAACTACCAGGCTTCCCGACCAAAAATAGAGGAATTCGTAGCTCTATGCATATTGCCATCATAAATACGTTTTCTCTCAATGCTTTGTTTTTTGCAATATTCTTTCCAACGGGAATCCCCCTCAAAAACTCTTCCTGGCAACTATGTTAATTAAATAAGAACTGCGTGAAGGAGAGAATTTGGATCATAATAATGAATATGTTTTAAAGTGTTTTAAAGACAGGAAATTGCAATTTCTTCTTGTCTTGATATATGTACCAACATACCTGCTGATTATGTCTAAAAATGCTGCGCCTGACCCCAGTGGCAAAAATTCGTCTTTGAAAAATGTTACAATGTGGTTTCTAAATTTTTCCCGTTCTGAGAGACATGCATGGTAGCATACACCAAGTGCTAAAACCAAGGCTTTGGTCAGATTGCAGCGAAGCTTAAACAGATAAAAAGCTAATATTAAGATAATGCTGTATGTATGTACATGTATATTATAAGTGAGTAGACCCATGACAAAAACTGTAAGTAAACACAGTTTACAATTATTAGTTGAAAGTTTCTACTTAATTAAGTCATTAACCGAGGATTTATTTTAAAGTATGATTGATAGTGAAGCAAAGATTCAAAATAAAGAACCAGATTATTAAAGTAGAACATGAAGATTTTACAATAAATCCAGATAATAAATTCGCCCTTTAGTTGACTCAAGTTTTATTTTTCTTGTAACTTTACTTAACCATAGAAAATTTTTGCTAGAATAATGCTGTAATCAGAAATATGTCGTATGGATAATTAAAAATAAAACAGATTATAATTTATACACTAACCTGAAAGTTCTCTTTTGTATCATCATCTTCTGACGTTTGAATCTTTCCTAAACAAAAAAATACTGGATTGTCTGGGACTTCTCTTGTTTTCAGGAACCAGCTCATGACGAGGAGTGTTCGTTCAACGTCACGAAGACTGACGAAACTACATTCCCCCTTCGAAAAAAATCTTCAATGATTACATTATAGTACTCCACATTACCGAATGGGTTCAACATAGATATGATAATTTTCTAATGATACAGTGAGTGTTACTACTCAAAATACATTTGAAAGAGAAAATCTGGATTAAGATTATCTGTAAATCAATCGTTATGTGTATACATCTGATAAATTCGATTAAGGTCAGACGACATGTTCCTCAAATATATGTCCTGTTTCTCTTGGTATTATATCAAAAAATATTTATATTTGTCATTCTCTTCTGATTTCTACATTGTTTTAAAAAAAATTTTAGCAATAAGTACACCCAAAATTGTGATATAGGCAATTCAAGAGATTACTCATAAGGGTTATATAAGAAATATGACCCTGTGGTATCTTGTCCAAATGCCTGGTAAGGTACCCTAATTTTTAGTGAGGAAACTTGTTTAAGTACCTTTAAATCAACGACAAATTCTTAGGAAAAATTATATATTTTTGAGGAACGTGTTGTCTGACCTTAAGAAACTTATTGCGGAGGTCAAGAATTTGTTTAAGAATTGAAATATTTACATACTAGTGTAGCTTTTGTAAAATTATCTATCTCATATGTTTGTGAATTTGTTTACCTTTTGAGTTCTCATATATTCTTGTGCTTTTGTCAAAATTCGGCTCAACGTCACATTCATCTGCTCAAAATTTGGCAACTTCTTATCGTTTATCTAAAAAAGAATATCTTCTCCATCGATTACATTTTTTTATAATGCTGTTGACAAAATTTAGAATAAATTTTAGTGAAACACTTACGTATCTTAAAACGATTTGCCTGATATACATTTCTTCTACTACGTTGTCTAGTTGTCCAAAATCCCAAACTAAAGGTAGCATGCTTTGTGGCAATGGTTGTACTCTGTAGACAAGATGACGCATTGGCAAACGACCTGTTTAAGAAAAATAAATATTGGCGTTTCGATATTAATGTAAGTAATTATTCTTTAAGTTTACAATGTTTTACAGAGGACAACGTAACTGGGAATACCAGTTTTTCTTACACACCTAGTTTATCTTTTGTGTTCTCAGCGGATACATTATATCCCAAGCCCGCTTGTTCAAGTCTATTGATCATTTCATCTGAGTGCCTGAATGAGAAAAGGAAAAAAGTAGAGTCTAGATGATCTTTCATTTCCTTTTCTACCTTATCACAACTGGAAATTTAGATTGATAAAAAGAATTATGCAAGTTAAAGGAATATTTATTTCTTAAATACTAACTTTCTATAAGGATTACACGCTGCAACGATTTTCAAGGATTTGCTTAGATCAAGGGGTTTTCCACTGACAGTTTTGTCACACATTATCTCTTTGATGACACCTATGTCCTCAGTAGTATTAGCTTCATCAAAAAACAAAACAGTATAGATCCCATGTTTTGAATTTTCCTTTGCAAGTTCTTCAGCTTCTTTGATCTTGTCAATAATGTCTTGGCGTTTTATTCCTCCGTGAACCTTTGAAAATAATAAGTAGCATACCTTTGAGAAAGAGGACAAAAAGAAAATATACTATTTTTTTAATATTTTATTTTATTTTGTTTATCAAATGCCGATGAAAAACTTATTGCTTTATGCAACTTGATATCATTTTGTACAAAATCTGCTGAAAGTGTGAATGTATCTCTCTCTCTCTCTCTCTCTCTAAAGATTTGTTTACCTTTATGATCAACATATTTTTAGTTTTAACTTCCGGTGGGCACTGCAGTTTACAAAGAAAATCCACTAATCGGGTTTTCCCGCAACCTGTTTCTCCCATTATTATGACTGGAATATCACATCTAGTAAAACATAAAATAACGCTTATAATTACTGAAAGTTGGTAGAAGTAATTTAATTTTGAATTTATTTTATATATTCAATCAAATTCCTACATGCAAGTTTTACATGCGTTTTCATTATTAATTTAAAATTTTATAATTTTTTGTTTTCAAATTCGCAGTATTAGAGTGTCGATCTGCTCTAGGGGGTTTACATTACAATCAAATTAATTCTAACTACACAATTTACAAGCATAGTAAAATTCTCAAAATTGCAGCTCATATTGCGTTAAATATGGGGGAAAATAATGATCTAATATATCTATATTGAATGATCAACCTTCCTAAGACAGAGGACTCAGGTTGTGATGGTCACCATGCTCTTTCTGAGAAAGGATATCCTTATGCAACCATCCTATTTTTGAGATTTGGTCATTTCTGACGAAGAACTGTTTTTGTTATAAACATTTACTTGCATGGTAAGAATGTAAGACTCGACAAAAATATTTCAGTTGCTTCAGAGTATGTGACCGCCTAGACTACTTCATTCGTGCATGGGCGGATCGGTGGCAGATATGCACTACAATCAGAGAGGGCTACTTTAAAAGAATAATGAACACTGAAACCTAATTTTATTTGTTTCATGGAAATCATTCAATTTGTTCGCGAACTTTTTGAGCACCCCTAGTATAAACAGAGGTCTCGTATTGCAGTGGGTGATGGCATAAAAAAATCCCCTATTGATCAATGACCCTAAGTGCAAAGTATAGGTAAAAATTTGAAGCCCTCCACTCAACAGTTGTGGGGTCTCGATATGGGTTACATATCGAAAAGATCTTAAACAATAATCAAACAAACTAAACATGTATATCAGTGAAGCCCGCCTAAGACACATAAAAAAATCTCTGACCAAATGATCATGAAATCCCCAACTACTGGAGAGGAATCCTTGCTCACCGTACTTTGCAATCATACCAAGAAGAGGAGAAGAGGATTTGCAAAGAAATTAATTCATTTATATAATTTGTAAATGGCGGGTTCGTTCTTTTATAAACATACATTTATTTTTGTTTTGGTATATACAGAGGGGGTGTTGTGTTACTTAGATGTTTTTCAGTAAAATAAAATTTAGCTTTTTCTGCCAAATTAATGTCCCAGAACCCCTGTACTTTGAAGTATTTGATCGGTGCTTCTTACTTTCATGCTGACAATGTTTGCTGTCAATGCTGAAAGATTTTAAAAGATCTTTTATATTTCTTTCTTCTATATGCAACACTACTCCCTAGGCCCCTACATTTTGTTCCCCTTTACATATATATACTAAATGTCCAAATGGTTGCCACTGGTTCAAATGTTAAAATGTCATTCTACAAACAATGAAAACAAATACGCTTAAAAACAGATAACAATATGTTACCAGAGTATAATTTTTAAAAATGCTTAGGTGCATGATTGAAATGAGAAACTTTGCCTTTACTTATATCTATTTTTTTTTTTATTATATCGAAAACTTAATTATCTAGCTTTTTTACAAAAAAACAACAATAATCACTTTAACGAAGATCTTAGGTTTGCTGACGACGTTACAAAAAGATACGCAATTTTTTTTACTTTGGCGAACATCAATCTTATTTTCATTTGATTATGATGCCCCAATAAAACAGAAATCAGTGGTGGTTTTCGTATTGTTTAATTTTTCAAAGTATCATTATTTAGCTAAGATTTTTTTTTTTTAAATTGAATTGGTAGTTAAGTGTTATATTAATTAAGCAACAATTTATCACAAATAATGAAAGCTATATAATTATGATACATGTACTGTATAAAACCAAAATAATGTATTTACCTAAACCTCATGTAAATTGCAAGAATTTTTTTCACATTATCCATTGTCAACTCATATGTGCTGTCTGGATCATGAATAACATCAAGCCCCATTACGGTACAAAGTTTCTTCAATTTTTCTTGTCTATCCACAGATGTAAAAGAAACAATTAATGTCATATAATAATTTGTTTTTCATACTTATATTTCTATGTACAATGTATTTCAAAAAGTTCCATGTATCATTTTTTTTTCTTTTTAATGTAGAGCATCAACTCATTTAAAGACATAAATCATATCCATGGGATAGCAATTCGTTTCACCTTGTTAGTTCGTCAAAATTTTCCTGCATATTAACTTTGTTTTGGTAAAGGGCATGGCCCAGTCTTCTCGGCAAAATCTTTCTCTCCAAGATGGCACCAGTTTTATAGTCAACCAGATCTCCTGTCCTTCGATCGATGGAAAATCCAACAAATGTCAAGGTGTTGTGATCAGGGTTAAAGAAAAGGTATGGATGTGGACTGAAAAAAAGAGCGCTAGTGCTTCACGTGATTTCGTGTTCACTATCTGAATCGTTTTTATAACACAATAATAAAAAAACATTGTAAATTTAAAGATCATCTCTCTCTCTCTCTCTCTCTCTCTCTCTCTCTCTCTCTCTCTCTCTCTCTCTCTCTCTCTCTCTCTCTCTCTCTCTCCGTTACCTGCTTTCCCAAGTTCTTCTGAATTGAAATTGTTTCAAGTCTTTTTCCAAATCTGATTTCTTCTCACAGATTTCAGCTCTGTTGACTGTTTCTTCACTCATGTCTAGTGACCGAGTCGCAAAATCCTTAAGATATTGTATTGAAAACAAAGCATATGATTAAAAAATATCATTTGTATCATTATTTTCATATGTACTCCAATATGATGATGTTATTATTATTCATTTATATTATTTCATTTAAATGCATATGATAGAGAAAGTATTTATATGTCTCTACATAGTAAATTTAGTTAATGTAAATACTGTAGAATAACCTGTTTTCGTGGAGATATGTTTGCTAATTTGTCATTTAAAAAGGTTTTGCGGGCATTTTGTAGTTTCGAAAAGTATAAACATATTAAGATTTCGTGTAAGATTTAAATTCTTTGATTATGCTTTACAACAAAATAAAAGGAATTTATTTCTTCTTTACAGTGAATATGAAAATCAGAGAAAAACGTCATCATCAATAATTTATGCTAGAGAAGTTCTCTAAATCCCATAATACAAATAAAAAATGAATGTTGTGGTCTTTTTTTATCGATGATGTAGTGTGAAATATCCTGATGCTACATTTTCTACTTCAAAACCAAATCCATATGACCTTAAAATGGACTATCCTATAAATTTAATTCATTTGATTTCTACAAAAAAAAACTTGAAGGAATCTTGTGAGAAAATATAAACATTAAAGATAGATCTATCAATAGAAAGAAAATATTTCTTCAACAATCGGTACGACATTTAAGACATACCCTGAAAAAGCTTACATGTATATTGTAACAAATGAACATTTAGAATTTTTGTTATAATGAAACATCCTAGTAAATGCATTTCTCACCCTTGACATTTGAATAAGGAACTTTAAAACAAAGACTGGAAATCCAGGCAAGTCTGCTGAGGCTGCTTCACTTATATAATCTGACTTTTCAAAATCTTTCAGTTGTGTGTCTAAGAACCATACAAAGTTTCTCACTTCTGCCCAAGAGGGATCAAATATTCCACAATATCTATGAATTCAAATGAAAAAAATATATGTAACTAAAAGTAAATAAACAGTTGGGATATATTTTTAATTCTTCTCTAGAATTTGATTGTGAAAGGATACTGAAATCATATAGGAGATAAGATATATTAGAATTCAAAATTAAAGAGGATAAACCTTAAAACAGTTTGCAGACACTCTCCTATAGTCCCAAATGTTTCATTCAAATTTACGTCTGATATAGTATGGGGAGATTCTGGATCTAACGTTGTTAGATACTGATAGGGTCTTTGAAAAACTTCACTTCTGAACTCTTCTTCATCAAAGAGAAGGTCACTCCCCTTGTAATCTAGCAACAACAAAAAACACAATCAAAACACATTTTCATATATACTAGCTAGTGTCCGGGGCATTAGTCTCGGTAGTATGGTCTTTTAGCTTAAGGGTGTCATTTACATCATTTTTTCTATACTGCCACAATCCCTAGGAAATACAAGTGTACAATATGCCTATATTCATTAAACTATTTTATCTATAAGATGCAGTAATACAGTAAATACTTCGATGCTTAAATGCCCTACTTTCTAATAGAACTGTGATATACATGAACTAATATTACGTTCAGAGGACATGTAGAGGTCTTGCCTAATATCTAATCCAATTATGTAAACTGTCTAGTTTACTTAATTAAATTTGGTAAATAAAAAAATAATAACAAAGGTCTACTAAAACTACTTTCCGCTAAAATAATTTCAGTCCAAGAATCTTATACCATTGATAGTTCATGTATTTTAGAGCAAGAAATATTTAAAATGCGAATAATTATTTTATTTTAATTCGAAACAACGCACAAAACCTAATATGATAAATTATTATCGTTATAAATAAAATTTTCTTTTACTATTGTTTTGATTAATTTCTGTAATATAATTTAAAGAAAGGGGAATTTTCAAGATAATTTTTGAAAATTGTAAAGTCAAAACTTTATCGATAAAACACCAATTATTTTGATGCATGACTTCATGATTTACAGAAAAGTGAAGACAACTGAAGACTTTGAATAATTAGAATTAGCATGACCAAAATTTTATAGTCTTTTTCCTTTATACCATGCATACATGAATAGATTCTTTTCTTTCGATGGATAATTGAATACCTACCGTATGGTATATTTGAGTGCGTGTAGATACTTAAGCACTGTCTTGGAGGTCTGCACATTACATCTGGCAAAATGTCAAGACACCTATGGAGGCATTTTGCTGGAGATCCCTTTAAAGTAATACATTAAAATGTTGATAAATATTGTGTTGTACGCACAAATAACTTTGTGAATAGTCAACATCCCATACATGTATATACTTTCACTTATGTCATATATAAAGGACATCATGTCTCTAAACAGTTAATATATCTCCACTTGCTTTGTTGACATACACCAATCTTTATCTCGTCCAGTCAAGAAACGTTTTATGTTGAAAAATAAAATATTGAAAATATCGTTGAAAGAAAAACAATTCTACTTTCACATTTTTTCATTTTATTTTTCTTTGTTTTTGTTTTGCTTAATCGTGTTAGGTGCTGATGTATCTGCAGAAAACTCATTAAGGTATCTAAACTTGACAAGATGTCTTATGTTTAGGAAAATTATAATATATAGTATCTTCCATATAAGTCCATTTTCTTTAAACAAAAACAATGGTATTTTCCGACATATTTAAAAGAGCCAACTGGGGTTTTATTGTTTGAAAACTACAATAGCAGAACTATTTGTATACCATATATAACTTACATTGACTTAAATGGACATGCTAAGTTTGGGGAAAATAAACCGTCCTGGTATATTTTAGGGACCGTTTCAAAATACAGGTACATTTACTATAGGATTATGTAGGAGAGTGCCAATTTTTGCACCTTTAAGCAAACTATACAAATATTACAATAGACTTTTACGCATGATGAATAATACTAAAGTGTGCATTATATGTAAGAAACACAAAATTCTACCGTCCTCTTTCCAAAGGGAACATCTCAAAATATTCAGGAATTTTCATGTTTTTATAGAGCACTACAAACTACGATGAAATCGCACGATTTATACAAAAATATTCAAAATGATGGAGATTCTCAAATTTCTATGTTTAAATTTCAGGAGCATATATTTACATTTTCTTTTATTACATTTTTAATACTCCTTCTTTAAGAACTTCAAGTTATCATAATGTCACAGACACACTTTTGCGACGTCAATCTACCTATCAGTCAAAAAGTTTTAAAAATCAGTTGTATAGAATTATAATTAAATTTTTCGAGTAAAAATGCTTTTAAACAGTAAATATGCTTCATTTTTCTATTATGCGCGAAATATTGAGCTATGGAAACCCGAGTCAGATCCTTAAAAATTCTTTAAAACTGAAATAAAATGGAGGCATCATTTACATTTGTATACATCTCTCATTCTGTATCACCCCTACTAATGTGTTCGAAACCTTTTATTTTTCGGTGTTCTGTAAATTATAAAACCCGAAGAGTTCAGAGTAGCTCTGGCAGGGGCTCTGGCGAGAGTTAGCGAGACTTCAGCGAGATAGGGTAAATTATTCACGGAAATGTGGCTAGGAAGTGACTAGCACGTGGAGGCATGGTAAACAGAAAAGTTATGTCGCATTTCAGTTTTCTACCAAACTAGAATCAGCTGATAATGTCTGTAGAAATGTACTTCAATCAATCGGTCTCTTTTATATTCATTCAAACTTAACGAGGCTGGGGTGTGGCAGCCATTTTAAGACTATTTTTATCTCCTTTAAAAGAAGAGCTCCATATAAAGATATAAAAAATGGTCAAATTTTAAGACTAAAATATATGAATTTTTTCTTTGCCAAATGATAGTTGACAGCTTAAGATACCGTATGTAAAAAAATAAGTTAAATCTGGTGGTTAATTTATGATTAATTTGTTGACCCCCCAGCCTCCTTAAATAAGTATTCTTTGTAATACAATTTTCTGCAGTCATGAATTAAAATTTCTTTTTGGACAAATAGTTTTGCATGGGAACCGGGACTATATTTTTGGCGTTAGATTAGCAAATGAGGCACCAGCATGATTTTAACTGACCAATCAGCTGAATGAGTATTGCATTATGGGTTACTACGAATACTACAGGAATTTTACACTTGAAAAAATTTAAAAAACCTTATGGTAAATGAAAAGCATTTTTAAAAATATTATTTCATGCTCATAATGACAAACAATTCATTTGTTAAATGAACGGCGGAAGTCTAGGTTTCTAAAAGTCATACTGATGTAAAAGCAATTTTCGTCTGTATCAATTCCTTTGTTGTACTATCGGTGAATACAATTGCCAGGTGAATTCCCTGGCCGAACACGTGATCACGAACGTAAACAAAGTTTTGTCCATTTAAAAATGCATATGAGATGCTGCTCGTTTTCCTTACCCTTGAAGCACTGCTGTTCTGAAGTAGACTCAAACTACATTTTATTAAACTTTTTTTTTTCATTTAACAACAAATTAAAAACGTCCGTAACATCTTTCATAGTTTCTTATTTTTGTATTTTGTTCGTAAAGAACATTTTTTTTTTTGCCGTCCATTAACATGATTGTAGATTGACCTGAACTACGTTTTCGAAGTAAAATGTGAACATGTATTGGCGTAAACGTTACTATTCATTCAACAATTGGTCAGTTGCTCATGGTATGATCCTATGTGCGCATTAATAACAATAGCCATATAAGGCAAACAAAGATTTGTTAGTGTAGATGATTATGCACATTTTTTTTTACCAGCGAATCGGTCACTAGTGAGATGTAATTTTTGCCGAAAAGTGTACGATATATTGTTATTTTAACACCCCTCCTTTAGCCACCCTTTTTCTGTTGAAAATCATGAAAGTCTTTCGGAAAGGTCTAGAAACATTTATTACAAGACATGTTTTCAAAAGAAACAGGCTATAACAATATCATGTTTATTGCCAATTTTATTTATAAAACCGGTTCTACCCTATAACCTTTGAATAGATCAACCTAAACCACGTGTTTTGAATTTAAATCACAATAACATTAGTAGGGGTGTGTATAATATTTATGAAAGTCCTATAATCATTTTACCGGACTTTGGCTGGATTCTATCAGCAATGGTGTAGTCTCTATCAAGTAAAGATCAGATGGCAGTTTTCTCCAGACATTTCCATGACTGTCCGTAAGACAACCAAGAATTATTAGTTGGAATAACAGATAGTCAACCTCTTCTACTACCTGAAAGAAATATTTTTGGATACAGTAAAATTAATTATTCTACGACTTGGAGGGGGCATTATTAAAATTTTTTAAACATATGTATTAAACATCACGTATTTCGAAGGTCTTCAATTTATACTTTTGGTCGGCAGTGAAAAGAACAGTTAAGTTTAGTTTCAAAGGTAAATGAAATTTTTAAGAACCTAATAATTATAAAGAAAAAACCCATAAGAATTATATATTGTCTTTAAGATTTGTGAGAAAAAAGTAAATTTACTATGAACATTATAACCTAAACGGACAATGAATGTTTTCTTATGTTTTTTTTAGAGTACAAACATTACCTCTTGAGCGAAGTCAAAATGAAACAAACGTTGTGCGTTTGTTTTCGGAGCCAAAGTATTCTGTAAAAGGGTTGCCATCACTTCGTCCACGTTTATCTTCCTTGCATGTAATGGAATTGTTATCACTGAAGAATCTTTGCTGAAACTTTTCAGTTTCTCTGCAGTTCTTCTTTTATACAGAGTTTTTCCAACTCCTGCCCTCCGTGATTTTACAATTCTCACAGTGCAACTAAAGAAAAATCCAACTTATGATTTAAATCCGTATTCAAATCATTTGCAAGCGCTGTAAGCTTTGTAAAGTAATGAATAAAACTGTAAATTCCATTTAGTCTTGTTTTGTCAGTTATCCAAAAAGATTAAATTAACAATTCTCCTATCCCTAAAAAGAATCGTGGTTACCATATACATCAATATATATCCAATGAAAAAAAAAGATGTGCGTGTGCGTGTGAGGGTGTGTGTTTGTGTGTGTGTGTGAAGGTGTGTGTGCGTGTGTACATTTTGTACATTTATTTGAAGCCATTTTTATCAATATTTCTTACTCACAGGAATTTTGCATCACTATCCAAGTACTATGAAATACACGTTTTCTATATAAAGATAATCAAAAATTGCAGCGTAGTTTTGAACTTTATTAAGCGTCTTTATTGTTCGCGTGAAGAACGACAGAGTACAAGCTGATAGGAAATTCAAAATACTTCAAAAATGCATAGGCAAGAAAATAACTAGTTTAACTTTTACATCCCGCGCACAGCATCAACAAGGGTCTGTAAACAGTATCCCTATTGTTTATGATTATGTAATGTATATTATGTTATGTTTATGATTATTTGGAAATGTCAATCCACTACATATAATCCACTACATCTACGAATTTTGATATCAAGGGCTCAATCCAACTCATGGGATTTGAAATAAAGGTTTTAAATGACGTCATGACATTGTGAACATAAGTTGTCATAACCGGCAGGTCTAGAGGTTCTAACTTCTATATATCAGGGGTACACTTCATATTATTACTTGTATAAAATTGTTTTGTGTAAATAAGAAATTAAAAGGTTTTGGTGTTTTTCGCATCCTTGTGCAGTTACAGAAAAAGTGAACATGATATGATTTTTTTAATGTCTGAAAAGCAGCGTATTAAACTAACAAAAAGGTAGAAATTGAAATACCCCATGAGTCATGTCCTTGGATATAGCATGGAATTCTAAATTGTGTCTCTAATACCCGGGTGGTTGTTTATTATGATAGATTGATTTTTTTTTAACGTCCCTTCGATTTTTTAATCATATAGAGAAGCAATTACTAACTGGTGGAAAGCTGCAAATTTTGACCTTTACTCGGCACTCTAGGCCAGTGACAGTGGGGGATCTTTTTTTTTTATCTCTACAGCCCTATAGCAAACGCTATATACACTGTAAACACTACTCAACGTGGGCGACAAGATAAATTGAATATTTATTTCATATGAATCATTAGCATGTTTATGTTCTCTTGAATTTTGCTGAAGGGATTGTATGTTTTTTAACTATTTGGTATAGAAGGGACATGTCGTATCAAAGTGTACAAGAACGGTTATTATTTTTATCACTTGCAACACGGCGATTTTATGTATCATTTAATGAAATTATATATCTGTCAAGTGTTATACTGTAAACGTTCAACATTTGGCGGTGTATTCTTTTTAGCGCTTTTGGCGGAAAGATACTTCCGCTAATTCAAGTACTTCGTTAAATGTCTTAAACAATGATACATGAATTAGAATATGAAGAAATGCGCTAAATCAAATTTACGCTAACTTGTTTAAAAATCACTTTCCGCTAAATATCGTACACGCTAAATATAATACATTTACAGTAGTTCACGTAGAACACAATCCAAAACTAAAAGGGAAAATCAAAATTCCCTTTTTTTCACCCAAGGTTTACAATCTGAAGTCATTTTGGTCTTAAAATCCTTATATGTGTCTCCACAAGTTCCTTTTTTAAAGATTTTTTTTAAGTATTTGAGGAACGTTCCTCTTTCTACACTTCAGATGCATTTGTTATGATCAGAGATTTTAGGAACTTTCCTCTCTCTCTCTCTCTCTCTCTCTCTCTCTCTCTCTCTCTCTCTCTCTCTAAACTTCAGATGCATTTGTTATGACCAGACATTTGAGGAACGTTCCTCTCTCTGAACTTCAGATGCATTTGTTATGACCAGACATTTGAGGAACGTTCCTCTCTCTGACCTTCAGATGCATTTGTTATGACCAGACATTTGAGGAACGTTGCTCTCTCTAAACTAAGATGAATTTATTATCACCAGACATTTGAGTAACGTTCCTCTCTTACATGTGCACATACAGCGTGTATTTTTAAATACTTTAAGAATCTTAACACATGAGACATTTGAGGAACATTCCTCTCTCAAATTCACTTTTTCTAAAGACATCTCATGAATGGTCAAACATCAGGCATTTGATTAACGTTCCTCGCTCGAATTTAATTATTACTGTAGGCATCTCAAGGATTGTCAAATATCAGGCATTTGAGGAACGTTCCTCTCACATATGGTTGTCTAATGAATTGTCAAACATCAGGCATTTCAGGAACGTTCCTAACTAAAATTTAACATTGTTCACACAGGATACTTACATGTATGAGGAACGTTCCTCTCTCAGATTTCTATATGTTGATACCTTATTCATATTAAATCAGGCATTTGAGGAACGTTCCTCTCACAAATGGTTGTATTTCTGTTGATTACTTATACCTCATGAAGCTTGCAACCCGTGCATTTGAGGAACGTTCCTCTGTCTTGTAATGAATATGTGTTGGATACATTGCAAAGCCCACTTAAAAATAACTTTAAAGGAACGTTCCTCTCTAACATTATCATGTGTTTTGTGATATTATATTAGTTTTTATCGTACATGAAGAATTTGGGAAACATTTCTCTCTTTTATATGAAATGCAGTACATATTCATAGAAACATTTTTTATCTGTACACACTCTACAAAATATATATGAAAAATCATTTGTCATTTTATAAAGTACTTTTTGAATTAAGGCTTTCTTAAAGCATAATATAAACTAGGTACAGGAACAAACAAATTTTTCATTTCGGAACAAGCATGTGCAATGTCCAGTGTTCATGTATCAACTAAAAGGGCTTTTTCACTGAATGGCAGTGTGATAACATATTACAGTGTCTTGGTTAACAGGTTAATACCCACAATATTTTTCCTTTCTACCACAAAATTAAACCAAAGTTGTGATGAAGGTCAACCATGTTTCTTTCTCGGTTACATCTTTCCCTCATAATAGAGACGATTCCAATTCCTTGGTCTCCAAAGGTTCATCAGTCACAGTAAAACAGCCTCAACAGGTTTCTTGGGTATCATCTTCTGTAGGAAAAATCTCACATTCAGTACAGCGGCATGTCGTATTATCAAAGATGTGATTTAGAATAATCGAAACAATGTGTACATAATAACAAGTCTTGATGTCTCATTTAAAAATTAAATAGACTGGAAAAATCGATATAAAAAAATTGCAAAACTTAAATTTAAAATTTTGAACTTTAAATTGCCCATGAATTATGAAAGTATTTCCATACTGTATTAAGAATATTGCAAAATTGACACTTTCTATCTTTCTCATACTATTTTAATGAAATAATGTAAATGTTTTATATTTAGAGTGTAATCTATTTGGCGGAAGTTGATATTTTAATAAGTTAGCCTAGGTATGATTTAGCGCATTTTAATATTTTATGTTTAAAACATTTAGCGTTGCACTTATATTAGCTAGGGCTGGGTATTGACCCGAGATTTCGTATTGCGATATATTGCGATATTTTTAACTGTATTGCAATATGTATTGCAATATTTTCAACGTAATAAAAATGGCATTTTCTTACTATATTCACTTTAATTTACATGCAGAATGTACATAACTATGATAAATAACCAACATGGAAAAAAAAATCTTGTTGATTTCATTTAAGTTATGCTTTGAAATGTTCCCACAAAACAACTTCTGACTTACTGTTTGGCTTAATAACAAACTTTTATTAGTCCATTTCCATATTTAATGACTACATTCCTTAATCTAAGCATATTGCCAATATATCGATATTTCAAAATCGTATTGCGATACGATATTTTTTGTCATTGTATTGCAATATATTGAAATATCGATATTATAGCCCAGCCCTAATATTAGCGAATGTTTCTTTCCGCCAAAAAGCTAAAAAGAATACACCGCCAAATGTAACAAGTTTACAGTAATAACTGATTTGCAAATTATGTCTGAGAAAAATCAGTCTCCTTTATATCTTGCATGTAACACTAATTTAAAAACTAAGTGACAATTGGAAATGTAAATTATAATAATATATAGGTCTTAAGCCCCATACTCCTCCAATGAACATTTTATATACATGTATGATAATATAAGTCATCAAATTTTTAAAAGTTTAATTCATTTCTCTTTTTCCATAGTGCATGCAGCTGTCAAATAATATTTCATGGGTTTTATTAATGTATTTTTTAATTTACACGAACCTATTTTCATTCTGAATCTCAGTTTGTTTTATATTGTAGTACTATTGTGTATTTCTTAAAAATGAAGAATTGATTCTATAATAGGGATTTGTCTAGTAATCCTAATTCCTGAATCATTCTCTACTTTAAAGATAAAGACTTTGAGACCTTGATGTCTTCCTGGCCCCAGCTCTCAGTGTAATTGTTATTAATCACTGCTAATCATATATGCTCATGGAACACTAGCTATAGGCGATCAGCTCTGGCAAATATCTGTCCCCTGTGACTTCATGGACAGTAAAGATCAGTGCTGATGCTATGATGACTTGATCGTGTTATAGATAAACATGTCTCTGCAGTCAGAAAATTGAAGCAATTTACATTGTAGAACAGAACTCAAACAGTGAGGGAATTAAGATCTTGTTAGAGTTTTAAATTTTACTCCTTATATTAAAATTTGGATAGTTTCAATATATTTAAAAAACAAAAAATGTAATGAAATTTATATACGCTGTAAAACTTTACTAATTATTCTGGTTCGGGAATAACAAATCTCAGGCTAAAATCTGGTTTGTACATATTAAATGCAAAGAAACATTCCACAGAATTATTTTGTAAAAAAAAAAAATAATAATGTGAAAACAACATCTCCTGCACTTAATTGTCAGGAATAAGAATCCATATTTCCAAAAAAGCCCTT